AATTGGTGCAGGAAAGAGTTAAGTCTTGTTTCTGCGGTTAGCAGAAAAGGAGTCTGCCCAGCAGTGACGGTCTGAAATGATCTCCCTGAAACCATATAACGGTAATGCATCATTAACAGCCACGTCACTTCCTAAGTGGAGCACAGGCTCATCTCATCCTGTAGCAATGTATCTCCATTATACTCAGCTGTTATACACATCGGTCCCACAGTATACACACTTAATCGGCCAAGTGGATATTAAGTTAAAGGCTCAGGTTGCGAGATTATCACCATCACTCATATGTTGTCATGGCAGCGGGCTTTCGTACAGGCCCACTTCCTGTCTGCCGCTCTCTCGCTGCCCCAAAACCCACTTCCTCTCCATCTCAGACGCCACCTGTCACGTCAGTCTTACACTCTATATTTAAAAAGAAGCACTAATTTTGGTGTATTCTGGTATATTTATTTCAGTATATCCGTTATGTAACCAACAGTATCCATCCATAGTTATTATTACCTTTACTGTTTTTATATCTAGGCTCACGCCTCATGGTTTCCACCGGACAAAGACAGCCCCTTCCCTCACAATGGTCATTTTCATTTCCATTTCAATTACATGCTACCAGATGCCCACCCATGTGTTTGATAGGGTCATGGGGTCAGCTGTTCTGGTGACAATGGTTAATTTGACTTTCATTTAGTCTTTCAGCTTTGCTCTCTGTAATTCACTTCCTCCTCAGACTACTTCCTGTCCTGTGTGTAATTACGGCTGATCTAGCTGGCGACAACAGAATATAGACGAGACAGCATCTCTGCAACCAGCCACGCTTTCTCTGAATCTGTGGTTCATTACAGACTTTGGCACAATCATAAGATACTTTGGTGGCTGATAACGTAGGTGTGCTATTATGACAATTGCTTAAAGCAAACTTATACAGATTTTTCAAAATCTCTGCATAATTCAGTCGTTGAGATGTAAACAAAGTAATTCATACTGGTTTGCTGTAAAATGGTTAATTTGTAGAGAAACTTACCAACTCAGATTCTTTGCAGTGGGGGTGACATGTAACAGAAGTTGCACAGTCTACAATGCAAATATACGCACTTTATTTATGATCCAAAATGATCAGAAAACCTATATGTGTCTTTTGAGCTTTTATATGTAATGTCGATAATTGTACAATAGCAGGACACCTGAAAAAATAACTTTTGGGGGTCTTAAAATGCCCTATCTAAGAGCCATTTTAAGGGGAACCTGGCCACTTCCTATTTCTCCCATTATACCAAAAAACATAACTGTAAAATGTTAGTGCCTGCAAGCAAGTCCTCAATGAATGAGAGTCAGTGGAGCTAAATGGCTAAAAATGAAAAAGTCCATTTAATTTAATGTAATGTTTTCTTGACATTTATGTGGGCGCTTTAATTTTGGAAAGTATAAGGATATATCCCATTACAGAAAACGAAGAAAGCCTACCAGTATCTTTCTGTGTCACTACAGCAAACAGTAGGATGTGCTAGCATTACTGTTGCTGAGTACTGATTGACTGACAAGCTGATCAGCTTACTGGCTAAGTGAAGCAGTTCGCACTCTTGACGTCATGAATGTACTTGAGGCACTGTTACAAAGTCCTATTCATAGTATTCAATTATGTCATTAAGAAGACAACGTCGCCATTTTGGTAGGCAAGCTGCAAACCTGACTGCTCTGATAGAGCTTGTCTCATCACTGTTACTGCAGCTACAACCTTGCAGGTGGATAAAACCAAGCACAATAGACCAGAATGATCACGAAAAAAGATAAAAAGATATGTAGATGCATTAGATTCAGTCTCCAGAAAATGCTATGAGAAGATTAGCTAGACTGGTGGACTGGATCTGTACAACCTGCATTTTTCCTGAGTTCAGAAAATTCAGAAAATTTGAATTTGTAAGATTTTACAAAAACTAATAAAAGTGGCTGCCGGATCTTAAATACTAAACTCACGCACATATCGCTGCTGTCGGAACAAAATTTCGTATCTCCAAAATGGTAACCTTACAGAACAAGGAAAAAACATACTTTACTTTAAATGCATCCTTAATCAACAAATGCCTTGAATGCTAACAAGCAGCGCATGTAGATTTCAGCTATCATTTGTTCTCACTACAGCAACAAATCAAATAAAATCAAGGCAAAACACTTAAATATGTCAGTTGATACGCTTTAAAAATGAGATTTAAAGAAGTGATCCAAAAAATAATGTGTTTACTGCCTGGCATCAGTTATGGCTTTATCTCAAACAGCCACAGCACTGCTGAATGAACTTGATGTTGCCTACCAAAATGGTGGCGTTGCGTTCGTGATGTCATTGGAATACTATTAATATCAAAATATAACAGCAGTGTTGAAATATTTTATGCTGTTCTGTATTCAGAATATGATTTTGTGCAAAACGTCCATAGGATATCCTAGTGCCTTCTAATGATTTGACAAACTCAGAAGACATTGAACGGCAGTTGTCCTCACTACACATTCTCTGCTTCTATGTCTATGAAAAATATGTTTTAGGCCTAAAATCCTATCTTAAAACAATGTTTCAGGCATCAGGAAGCATATTTGTAACCATTTTGTGTAATGACTTTGAATGAGGAAGCTTTTAGAGGCACTAAACGTGTCAGACGTCTGGCTCCTATCACCACCACTCTGAATAGTTCTGACTACTTTGAAACTTTAATTCCCCTTTAATAAACAAGTGAGTGGTCATTGAATGTCATGCACATAGCCTTTAAAAGATGAAAGAAAATAATATAAACTGTGAGGCATTGAAGGTAGAAAAAAAGAGTGGGGAGAAATGCTGTGATGCTCCTGGGCACAATGTGTTGCCATTTGAGAATAGATCTGACAGATTTAAATAGCGCTTGCTAAAAGGAGCCAAGAGACTGGATGAGTGATGGAGAGAATATGAGATTTTTAGTGGGGATTGCTAAAAGCAATGGTGAGAAAGAGAGACTGGAAAACCTCTTAGTTTGGTGGAAACAGAAAGAGAGATCAGAAGATAGATGTGACACCTTTACCATTTAGTATACATGGTCATTCTTAGAAAAAAGGTTCTATGTCTTGTAACACGTTTTTAAAGGTTCCTTAAACAACTGTATACAAAATGTTTTCTATCAAAATAAAGTACCATTTAACTATGCAAGGGATTATGGGCTGATACTGATATCCAACATTTTTCACATACAAATCTGCCTTTAAACAAATGAGTCAGGAGCCATCAGGGCCTTCTAGGCCTTCAGAGAAAGTGTCTTCACTGTGTCTGTGAAACAAAGTCTAATGTCTAATATTTAGTTCATTTTTATTTAATAAAATCATCATCCTTTTTGTATTCAAACTTTGCAAATATTTTAGTAATACTCTTATTTAATTGTCAATGTCTGACTGGAAAAAAGGGTTAAATCCTTAAAACACCCAACAGAATATTTCCCAATCAGGATTTTTTTCTCTGTAGTAGCTTGGTTAATATAGCCGTTTGCCCATTGGTTAGACTTTCAGCAGCTGGGCTGACGTTCTGATGTGTTAAATTAACCACTAACATACACAGGAACTGATTGTGAAATACAATTTCCAATGGGTGGTTCCAATTTTGTGAGGCTTTACAGGCATCACTGACTGCAAATGCAGGTGGTGGCTTGACAAGATGCTTCAACAGCAGCTGTATGCCAGGGTTCTTTACTGAAAGAATCACTGCAAACAAGCAAAATATATGTTAATATGTGTGTTTCAAACTTCAAATAAAACAGGATGTCTTTGACAAGCTTCAAATGTCGACGTTTCATCTAGAATGGCCAAAAACTGTTAATGTGAATTGCTGTTAGCTTAGCACTAACATAGAATCCCATAAGAAGAAGTTAGCATTACCATAGAAGTGTTTTTCCTCATTTTTGACTGAGTTTTGTCATTCATGGCCCTAACTGAAGGTCTCGTTATGGTTCAGCACTGACATAAACATATATAAAATATACAAATTGGAACTTAATCTACCTGGATTAGCATTTTGCAGAAATCTACCATTTATTTGTAAAAGGTTGGTGGAAAATGCATGAAAATGACTTAAATGCAGACATTTAGCACAGTAGCCCAGTGTCATCTAAACATTCTGTTCTTCCAGAACATTTGCCATCAAATTCGGGATTGAAATAAAAGTGAAATCTAACCATCTGCCCGATGCCAATATGACTCTGATTCCCACACTTCACTCCCCTTTCACTGGGAGCTATATGACTGATATGCAGGCCATGCACTAAGGCAGTAAATACCTCATCATCTTGACTCTGTGGCTACTTTCTAGAAAGAAAATGACCAGTATGTATGAAACATGCTTCACTTCCCTAAGCGGAAGGGTTGATTTCATTCCATGATTCAGCTGAAAGCTACTATAGGCTTAACACGCCTGTTGGGACATTGCTTGTCACGTCAGGTAGAGTACTGTCTTCCAAGCACGATGAGATGCTTTTTGATGCCGAGTACTCCAGTTCAAACCTTCTGCTGATCTTCTTCTAAGTGACATTTGTTCTCTTGTGTCCAATCAATAGCATTTACTATTGATTTCTGACCACAATGTGGCTTAACATTAACAATTTAACACACTACCTTCTTATGAATGAAGGTTTTGTGTGACTCACACATAAGTATGAATATAGACTTTCGGTTATGCTAGTCTTGCAAGAATAACTCATTGCAACAAGAGCAAAAATAACACTTTGCAACAAGAGCAATAAATAAATACCTTATTTTACACATGCAGATGTGAACACATGCAATTTTGCATGGCCAAAGCAGAGAGTTTTATACAGAGATGACTGTAAAGAGTCAGAGACAAGATAGAGCCAGTGCAAGGAGGAGGGGTTTATGCTCCAGAATACCTTGGTAACAAGCTGCCTCAGCATCCAGAGAGAGAAAAAAAAAGGTTGGGGAGGGGGAACAGCAACTATAACAGCTTTTTAACTGCACTGGTAAAAGACCATCAGAGCTGGTGTAATGTAGTGATAGATAAACACAAACAGACGTCCCCATGGATTTAGCTGTCTTGATTAGCTATGCTAACTTAGATTCTCTCATTTGTTGATTAGGTGTTTCTGCGACTCCTCCCCTCTCCTTCACAAGCTTTTTATTGGCTCCAGGTCCTTTGAGCGTGCACCCGCCTCTTCCCACAAACACATCATTGCCTCTCTGTGCTCCAGTGAGAGAGAGAGAGACAGAGAGGATGAGAAAGAGGAGAGGGAGAGAGAGAAGGGGGGTGGTCGAGGGAGGGAGGAAAGGAAAGAGGGAAAGGGAGGGAGGGGGGAATAGCTGTGGAAAGCAGAGGCTGTGTGCTGTCTGGCTGGTGACAAGGGCAGGCAGGCAGAGAGAGAAGAGGAAGATGCAGAGAGCAAGCGAGGTCCTCCAGCACAATGTTGATCAGCATGGGCACTTTCAAAAGGCATCTCGCAGAGGGATTTGAGGGATTCCTTTGCTCAAGGGCAGACTACTGAGCTGACACTTGCGAAGTTTCTCATCCGCAAGAATGCACGTTCGCTTCGTGCACCAGGGGGCTTGATGCTGGAGTCTGCCATCCGCGTGGTGGAAACCTCAGATCAGGAGGCGTGATGGACGGACTCTCTGTAGGGAACCTGGGATCACTCTCTTTGGACTTACTCTAAGCTCCTCTTGCTGATCCATGTGTCAGGTAGACTTCTTGCTTGTGTTCCTTTTACTCTCTCCTGCTTGTCTGTCAACGTCTTCTACACATTCTGGCATATGGCTGCGAATGGCATGCCTTAGTCTGAAGGCAACAGCGGGATGTCATTTTCCTCTCTATCAGAGTAAATGGTATTCACTACCTTTTGGTATCAATGTCATCTTGTACTCTGCCTTAAAGACAAATCTGTTGGCTGGAAGGTTAGGAAGGTTTTGTTTAATGAAATTCAAGTAATAATTTGCTTTGTTGCAACAGCCAGTGCACTCACAAGCCTTAGGACTGGAATATGATTCCAGTCACATGGAGATGAATGAGATATTTGAGGTTTAGAGACATGTGGGAGACTAACGGGTGAGATCAGTGGGCACAAAGGACACTGGTAACAATTTGGTCCACGCCAGGGAAACAGTCGTCTCTTGTCCGCTAAAGCTCATCTGAATTTTCTTTGCGCTTGCGGTCATAACAAAGGACATTCTGCAGATCAGATTAATCTATGTCTGTGTCTGTCTGCCTGCCACACTTGGAACTCATGGAGCGAACTGGCATATCGCATCATAGAACCACTTACCTCATCTCACTCACCCTGGTGAAGGTGGAGACGGCTGAGGACCATGGGACGGAAAAGGCCAGGCAAAGTGTGGAGGGGGAGACGAGTCAAGCTGCAGGAAAACAGCCACCTCCAAAGACAGACTCGAGCAACGGGGTTCAGCATCCACAGAAACAAGAAGAGGTCACTGAGCCAGAGGCCAAGAAAGATGTCCAGCTCAAAGCAAAGCAGGAAATACTTCCAAGCCCCAAGGACCATAAAGCACTTCTTACAGATGGTGCTCACCCCAGTGACAGGCAAAAATCAATAACTTCATCTGCAACTGAAAACGGCGGGGTAAGAGAAGCCACAGGAGCAGCTCAAACATCTACAGCCAAGGAAGTAGTTGAACTAACCCAACCCCCAGCCACGAGCAATGTCCCAGGACGTGTTAGCAAGAGGCCTATGTCCCTTCTGAAGGCACATAGCGGTGCCCTCAGTAGTCGTGAACTGAGAGAGGCCAGAGACAGCATGCATGCCTCCTCCAAGAGCCTGGACCGTAAAGACAGCAGGTCCGGAATCCAGTCCCCAGCCAGCCCTGCTCCCGGTTCCTTCAGGGCATCTTGGGCTGTGTGTGAGGTCAAGCCCAATCAAGATGATCTGAAAGGAGGCACTGGGACTAAAGCATCTACAGAAGGGATGATAGCGATGCGGACCCAGAGCCCAAGAGCAGAGAGACTGAAAGCAGGGTCTACATCTCTTCCGGCTCCTGTCACCATGGTGTCCAAGCCCCAGCGCAAGGGAAAGAGTCGCACCTTGGACAACAGTGATTTGAACTGCTTGTCCGAGGACCTTCTGAAAGGAAAAGGTGGCCAAGTCACATCAGACATGAGGGCAGGTCAGTCGCAGGGAGCCACGACACGAGATCGCAAAATGCTCCGATTTATTAGCGGCATTTTCACCAAGAGTACACAAGTCCCACCCAACACTGGCACAGTACCCCAAACTCCTGGCTTGTCCCAGAGGGAGTCCAGTGAGGATGAAGGTAGGAAAGCACCTTCCAGTCTCATTCACAACTCTGTCCTGTCAGGTTATGTGCTCAAATAGACAGCACAATGCAAAGTGGCATACTTCAAAGAGAAGGTCATTTTGGGTCTCCTTTTCATTTTGATGTTTGGTACAGAGATAGATGGAAGTTACTGGGAGGACAACATACGAATTTTAAAAATCACCCATTGATTTGGATGAGAAGATTCACTGTACACAGAAACTGCAAGAAAAGATAAAGGTCCTTGATCTTTAAGACAGCTCTGTAGGGAAGATGATTTCTCATGTCACACTTTAAGAATTTCAAATGGTATTTGTAGTAAATCCAGGAGCTGTGGCATAAGTTAAAGACATCTGAGTCTCTTCTATGTTGTCAACCCTCCAACTGTCCCAGTTCCTGATCCGGAACAGTTGGAATAGGAAACAAATTTGATAATGCCTACGCCAAACGCTGTGCAATTACAGCCAATGTCCTAATCCCATCTTTGATGTTCCACCCACTGCCTGTTTTTTTATCCCAATCATTTTCCTCTGTGGCAGCTTCCATTCTTTTCTCCGATTCCAAACCATGTCAAAACCAGCCGTTTGATACTCCCAGATTTATCGACTGCTCTCTTTGTTAACTACGGCCTTTTTTTAAATGAAAGGCAACGTTTTGAAATGTATCTCATACCCCGAGGTGCAAATTTAGATGTGAAGGAGGCCTAAGATCCTTTGGCAGACCATCAGTGAGTTTTAGCAGATGCATTTAGACTATGCTCTTGAAACTGGGGCCTTGGAGAATATATGATAACATTTATTATCCACGGTTTTTGCGAGTGTAATGTATCGCATAGCCTTAGCTTCATTTGTGGACATGAAGTAAGCCTGTGGTAGTAACCTTAACTTTTCAGTAGATTTTCATTTTTAAGGTATATATGGACTGTAAAATTATGTAAGACATTCAAAGACATTCTTAAATTTTAAACTGTAACAATATCATACATAATGGTGACTCAGAAGCCCTGTTGGTAAGGGTGTGATTATGTCTGCATGTGTGTGGTCCCTGAACTGTAAGCACTGGCTGGTGTGCGTCTGTGTGCAAACCAACGCATGCGCGCAGGAAAATATTTACGTATGTGTTCTCCGGGCGAGCTGACGGAGCGGCTGGAGGTGGGGTTGTCATGGCAACAGGCAGGCGGACGGAGCTGCCTTGTTGTACGGCTGCGTGATGCCAGGGAGAGAGTCCCCAGTCCAATGAATGAGAGAGCAGGGCTGTATATGTGTGGGGAGCATGGGGGAGTCAGTGAGGGGTGGGGGGTCTTTTGAAAAGAATCCAAAAAAAGGAAAATAGGCTTTAGAATGTGACACATAGAGCATCCTTTTTTCAACCCCGGCCTCTCCGGATATGCTGCTGTATATGGAGGCTTCAGGATCTGCATAAGGATCGTACTGTCTGGTGGTCCGGTCTCATAATGCCCTCATAGAAGTGTGCTGAATTCGGGTGGGCTTTTTGAGGAGGGGGTGGCGTTTTTATGTGAAGGCCTGCATTTCACACAGGAAGTTGGAAGTTGATAGTGGCGAGTTCAGAAACCTTCGCTTTATCTCGACCACAAGCTTCTGCTTGTGTGTAGAGGCAGCAGGCTTGCTGGTCAAGCAGTGCAGGTCATAGTGGTGGTGTGTCATAAAACACCAGTCACAAGGTCTCAGCTGCGCCTCCTTCGCACGTCCACATCTGACAAAGCGATCCCAGGCAGGACAATGTGCTACTCCATCAATCACTGTTGACAGCACAACAGCTGGGCTTGAGCCACTCGTCAATGTGAGAGAGGCATGAGAGATAAAGAGAAAGTACATCTGTAGATCAAGAGCTGTTTCTCATCTCAAGAAAAAAAAATCAAGCTTTTTTTTTCACTGTATAAATTAGGGGCTTAGCATCAGGGTTGGAAAGAGAACTGAAAATCATTACTAATATAAGAGTAATGATGCTAAGCATCTTAGCACAAAGATGATTCTTAAATGGTAGAGTTACACTGAACATACTCTCAACCAGTTACGATAATCTTAACACTAAGATGCCTTTGAGAAACTGGGCCAAGATTGGTTTGAATCAGGCAAATAAAAGTTTTCAGTGCCTGCCCCACTGCCCTCTAACAAAATAAGCCCAGACCACAAATTAAATTGCTTCTATTTTTTTTCTAATAATACAAAGTTTTTCAATACAAATTATATTATTAGTTTATCATTTTCAGTGAAAAGTAGAATCTTTGAAATTTTAACATGAATTTAAGAATTTCTCAGTTCTTGGTCCACCCCCCTTTTGCTTTAATGACAGCATGCACAGCATGAGTTGGCATGGACTCTGCAAGGTAGATCAAATCCACTAAAGAGTTGTCTAAGCATGTGCTTGGAAGGTATGGAAAAAGTAAGTAAAAAAAATCTGACCTTGTTGTACAAATGTCGGTGGGGTATTGTCAATGTCATTTAATTTAATTTCATTTGAAAAGTAAAATAAAAAAAAAAGTTTTAAAACTTTCTGTTGTCTTTCGGTTGAATTTCCAGGTTTAAATAAAAAAAGTAATCTCAGATTTTCAAAGTAGTCTCGTGGTTCGGACTACAGTGTATAAACAACTTCAGAAAAAGTTATTTGACCAGGGCTGCATTCAGCCCCCACAAAACGTAGCAAAAACGTAGATTTAAACAGAAACAGTGGTGCGTTAAATACTCTGGCAGCTGAGAAGGCCATTCTTGGAAACTTCAATGACACGGCCATCAAATGAGAGAAAACGTACCTCAAAGTCTGTTGCACACCTGTTTCGCACCTTTTCAACAAAACATAACGTTAAACCTGGAAAATGTAACAAAACGGTGCACAACATTCTGAGATTGAATGTGTCCCTGGTTTTGATCACTGACAATAATGTCCATGAAAGATGGCACCTGAGAGACATCGCCGATACAGTTTTCAATACATTGTTTCACATTATGTTTTTTTGATACTGTATTTCAATCATCACATGCTGAGTAAAAAATAGGGACAAGTAAAGTTTGATTTGTGAAAGGGTTTTTGTCTTTCCTTTTCCATCTTAAATGTTATTTTAACCAAAGACAGACTGTTTCATAAAATCCATTAAACTGTCTCCATTAGACTTTACTTGATAAACTGCATTCATGAAGTTTTGGAGTTTATGAGAATCAGTAAATACAGTACTAGTTCAAGTTTCCGATTTCAAAAAAGCAATGCAGGTCAAGCTTTTAGACTTTCCTGATATGAGTATAATAGCAGAAAGATGGCCAAAGTTTAGGGGAAGCTGCGGATTCTTGTAGACAGCAATCATGTGATTAGTTCTCCAATTGTCCAATAGCTTTCATGTATACATTTTGACAAGTGGGATAGAGTTAATAAGCTATATTTAGGCAGAAGTGAAGTGAAAACAAGAGGGTTTTAGGCCCAGTATGCTGTGCTGTAGTTTTAGTACAACCTGATATTTCTCTTCTTTAAAAAGAGTTCAAATTTCAGTTTCATTCTATTAATATGAATGTGATATGTTATTTTAAGTACTGTAGTCCTTCTTGTGTTTGAACAAGGAGTCTGACTGTCTGTGAACTCTCTTTCATTCTCTTCAAAGCATCGTGTGCCAACAGTCAGGAATGGACCCTAAATCGCTCTATTCCAGAGCTGAGATTGGTAAGACAGCTACACTATTATCATCATCCAAGTGACAGACAGCATCATTCAGACAGGGATGTAGTGGAGAATGAATGCACATAAATGCTGTTCATGTACCTTTTTTAAGATTTAAAATGGCGCTTACTCCCCTTTCATTAGAATTTACCCACTTACTTATTGAGATTTCTTAAATTTCTTAAAAAAATCAAAGTTGAAGTTTCTCATTTTTAGTGAACACAGCTGCAGAACCCAATTACAAACTTGTGCTATGGGCATATTCTATATACAATACAAATTTCCCCTAAAGAAACTGCATCAAACTAATAAGTGTAGCCTTTAATACTGGCAATGTCTATATATTCTGCATGTAGCAAGCCACCAGAAACAACGAGAAAAAAGCCCAGTCATTTGAGTGTGGATGTTTGCAGTGCATAAGCTCCGCCCCCTCCCCCTCCCACTTTACCCTGATAAGATGCATCCAGGTACCAAGGCTGCCTTCAGCCCTGCAAAACGTAGCAAAGCGTTTATTGAAACGGTGACATTTGTGTTGTAGAAATGTTTCATGTTGCAGGCAGCAAAGCACCACTTTTGCTGTTAATAAAACGCTTATATGAAGTGTAACATAATTTGGTTCTAATGGAATAGAAATAAATACTTTCTCCTGAATCCTCTTAAAAATTTCCCAAACCCTATCCAGTAGTGACTATTCAATAACCTATCAACTTACCAGCTATAGTGAGACAGCCACTGCTGTGACTAATCACAGTTCCTTGGGGGGCGGGGCGTGCTACCCCAGGCCCCCAGCTCAGACATGCCACTATACTAGGCATATAGCTTGAAAATATAGGTTTAATGGGATGTTACACAAAAATAATTTTGGTTATTTTATATAGAATAAAAAGGTATTACTATATAATTATGTTAAAGATAAGTGATGAAAGGATATGCTTGGCTTATTTATGTAGTTGTCCATTGTTTCACAATTGTCTAGAGTGCCCTGTAGAGCATAAGGTTTATGCACCTTTTTTCCACTACATCCCTGCATCCAATCAATGGTTGTTCTTCATGCTTTGAAGTCCTGAGAAGGACCAAGATTAGGCATTTCAGTTGAAAACATTTTTGTTCAGTACTTCTGATATCTCTGATATCTCATCGAGAGAGTAACTGTGCAGTAGAGCTGTAAATGTTGGATGTGCCTTCTTTGTTATTAATGTCTGTCTCTGGGTTCATGCAGGGGGTGCTGGGTAGCTTGCGGAGCGGAAAATCTGCTCTAGTAAACAGGTTCATCACAGGAAGCTACCTTCCCCTGGAGTCACACGAGGGTGAGAACTTTGGCCTCTTTTAACAACTTCCACCATCTGATTGGCCTACAGTGTAAAGAGATTTCAAATGCATGCAATGATGGTTACTTTAGGCTAAAGTTAGAATTGTGAATATTATGAGGGTGAATCATTTTAGGAGACTGTAAATGTATTATTTTTTAAATTGCCACAAAACTTCTGTATAAATCACTGTACACCAAGTCACTCAGAGTTGTTTGTTGTGAAATGGCTCATTGTAAAGAGACTGACCTACTGATTTCTTTACAGTGGCGGTGAAAGGAACCAGGAATCACAGTTTCTACAACATAAATCTAGTTATTGGTTTTACTATTCAAAACGACCAGTGAACCTACACATTTTTATATATAATGTTGCTACTGGTAAAACAGAACGAAAAAATAGGTTTTCTTTGGGGACTATTTTGCCTTACAACACTCTTCATGAAGCATACTTTACAAACATATCTTTTAGGCAAAAAGCATATCTTAAACTGTCATAAACCATGTCTCAGACATCAGGCAACATATTTGTAATGATTTTGTGTAATAACTTTCTACTATGTGCTTTTAGAGGCATTAAACGCTTCAGATGTCTGGTTACTATCACCACCACTGTGAACATTTCTGAAGCAGCAAGTTTCTCTAGACGGGTACATTTCACGTCAAATCACTCTGAATGGCTTTGTTTACATCTTAATGATTGAATTATGCCAATATTTTGAAAAATGACAGAAATTCCCTTTTAAAGATTCCATTCCAGGGCTTAATTTGAAAATGACGAGGTCACAGAAACCTTAGTAGTAATGGATCAGGCAGGTCAATAGAGTGGGGGAGGCCAGACAGCTCTGTTAGAGGTTTCCTCGTAATGTTGGTTCTTACAAGTTCTTACATGTTAATGAGTGTCATTCATCGGTTTCCCAAAACCAAACAGCTTCTAATGCAGGAGTAGTTAATAAATTAATGATCCAAGCCACTGGTTTAGCTCAGCGTTTCTAAGCTCTTTTGAAAGACATACAGTCACAGGAGCAGTGGCGCATTTATGAGAGATGAACAGCGTCTGTGTTGTGTTATTACTGTTTCTGTCACTGTATGCTCAAACAAGAGTTGAAAGTGAAAGTGCGTACGTGCCATTGCACAGCGTGCTACTTTTCAGTGAAGTTTTTCACATTTTTTTGTTGTATATATCAAGTTACTTATAGAAAATATCATGATTATCATGGAACACTAAGTTTTACTCTACTTTTTCTTTTTAAATGAGAGTCTGAAATAGTATGTAGTAAACATTGTTAAAGTACCATTTCCTCCCCAGTCCATATGTGGGAACGAAGCTGCATTTTGAATTTGTTGTTTTCATGATGTCATGACAACAAACCCACTTAACTTTATCCACCTATTCAGCCTGCAGCGGTTCAGCACTCCCCATTCTTGCTAAAAGTTGTTATATGTAAAAACCTGTTATAAGGAGTGGTTCAGCCTGGACTTTTTTGAATGAGGTGCAGTACAAGGCAGCCAAATTCTAACAATTAAAGATAGGTTGTAAAATGTTAAAAAAAAAGAAAAAAAGTTTTTAATACATAAAACCACAAAAAGGGAAATATAAAAAAATGTAAGATCTAGGCCATTTCATATGAACTAGGTGCAAGATCCAATAATATAGGTGCCGGATCTGGATCTGGCTTATTCTGGCTCATAAAGCCCCAGTTCATTTATCCTAGGTTACTGCTGTCTCTTATCAATATATTTGAAAAATGCACATTAAGGGGATAGACTGCAAGCATGTGTGCGGGTTTGGAGAGGGAGGAGTGCCCACAAAGTTAGAAAAACAGCATAATCCATAAATAAATGAACCCCCAAACAATAGAAACTGGCATTTCTCAGATGAGTTTTTATACTTGGCATAGAAAGCAAAGCACCTGCGAGTACAGTTGACTGATGAACTCTCTTCTAAGTCACGGACTGAGATGGGGCTACAGATGTAACAAAACAGAATTTTCTTGGGGAAACTATGTTTTCACCAGCAAAAGAGTTTTTGCAGACATGATACGAGTATTATTGGAGAAATGGTTGTTGTTAACAAAATATGCCGATGCCCTTAAATATATATATATGTTTACACCTCAGAAAATTGAGTTTAGTGTTTGTCTCTTTAAAGCAAAACCAAACCCTCATCTCACTGTTAAAGTGTTGCTTTCCCTCTTTCCTTTTCCCTTATCAGGCGGGAGATATAAGAAGGAGGTGCTGGTGGATGGACAGAGTCACTTGTTACTGATTCGGGAGGAAACGGGCCCTCCTAGCCCACAGGTTTGTGACTGTTAGTGTCTTCTGTGAGTGCTACCAAGCAGTCTGAGACACAGTAAGCATGAAACCAAGAATGAATCACTGTATGTGCACTGTGAGGCATGTTCTCATACCTTTTCCTTTTTCGTCTTCCAATTTGGGATCGCAGTTTAGCAACTGGGTTGATGCCGTCATCATGGTGTTTAGCCTGGAAAATGAAACCAGTTTTCAAGAAGTGTACAAATGTTTCAGCGAACTTAGTGCCCACCGCAACACAGCGGACATCGCCCTCACAGTAGTGGGTACACAAGGTATGGGTCACACAAATCTAAACTGTGGTCAGCAGCACTGCACAAGTGTCACGTTTCTCTGTATGAAAAATAAAATGGCATTTTTGAAATTTGTTGCTCCTGCCAGCCTTTGGTAAACTAAAATATTGCAAATTTGATGTGTTTCGCTGTATGGACAATTTTCCTCCAAACATCGCCAGATTTTCTGAATTGCAAAGTCATTAAGAAGCCAAAATATGAATATTGCTACATGCGAGATAACACCAAATTTACACCATAAGACTGGTAACCACATCAAAATAGCCCACACAAACCAACAAGCTTTGTCAAATGTGGTAGTAAAGCTGCTCTGGCAGTAGTAGCCTACAGTTTGAGTGGCTGGTGTTGGTATGCAACTGTGTTTAATGGTAGACTTAGGCCCAATCCCATTTCTTCTTTTTACCCCTACCCCTTGTTTTCGAGTATCACCCTAACCCCTTGGAACTAAGTTACAAGGGGTAGTGGTTGAAATCTTGCCCTACGAAATCAAATTTAAAAAAATAAAAAACATCACTTCATTAACAGGCTTCTAGCGCTCTGTAGGCAGCCCGTCTTTAGTGATAGCAGAGGAGGGAAAAGTTTAGCAACCTCACTGCTGGGCTTTAGTTACATTTAGAGCATCATATGCCTTCAAAGAGGGGGTATAAGACAATTATTTATTATCGCCCACCCCTAATTCTTTGGTGATACGAAGCTGAAGTCAGCTATTCACCAGGCTCTTGTTCAAATTTTCCCGTTCCACCTTAAATGGTGCAGCAGTTACATTCTGGCGCTTCAGCCGTCAATACTGATGGGCTGTTTAAGGTGGAACGGGAAAGTTAGCTAACTAGCTAACTAGCTACAGAGACATTAGCACGCTATGAGCAATTTTTTATGCTTGTTATGAAGAAAACGACCATAATACATTGAAACAACATTAAACTAAGATAAACCAATGGTTATCATAATTTTTTTAACAGAGAAAATACTCACTTTTGTGGGTTTCTTTGGTCACTCGCGCAGCCATCTTGCCGGTTTTTCTTTTTTTCTCATAACACTCCGTTTAGACTGTGCCTCTAAAAACCTCCGTTTGGAGGGCCATATAGCCCTAACCCTTCGCCCTACCCCTCTATCTCAACTTAAATTGGGACACCCTACCCCTAGACGTGAACGCGCAAAACAGAGGGCTAAGGGCTAAGTGGTAGGGGCAAGGGGTGAAATGGGATTGGGCCCTACTGTCAATGCGTGGGAGAGTTATGTTTTTAGCATTATTCATATTACGACTTCCAAACAACTTTGTAAATCAGAGGTTTAAGACAAGAATAAACTGATCCTAGATTAGCTCTTTTAAAGGTGGTGAAGTGGAGTCAATGTGTCAATGTGCTTCTCACCACAGATAAGATTAGCAGCACTAACGTCCGTGTGATCGAGGATAAGAGAGTGCAGCAGCTTTGTGCCGACGTGCGACGCTGTGCCTATTATGAGACCTGCGCCACTTATGGACTGAACGTGGACCGAGTCTTCACTGAGGGTTAGGCTCCCTTTTGACTAGTTACTCAAAATACTGGCATTGTTTTCTAGGGTCAATCAAATTTCAGCTTCACAATTTTGAAACAAGGCTAAATTAGATGGCCTATTAGAAATCCATTCAGTACATTCAGAACACCCAGCTATGGATCAGAAAGGCTAATGAGGACGCTATCCTACTTTAGATTAGTTAGTAAGATCTTAATTTGATTAATTTATTCATTCATTCACTAATCCATTCAAATATTTACACATCCATCCATGCATTCATCCTTTTATATATCCATCCATTCAAATAATTTGTATTATTTTCATTCAACAGTGTTTGAGCATGCATTACGCGACTACACCACACAATCATTGGGAACCTTTATGATGCTCAACAAACCCTGACCTCTATTCATTCATCTAGAGGCTAATAAATGCATCTGTGGCGGTACCTAGCATGATACAGCACTAACCTCAGTTGGTCATCAAACTTTTTTCATTGTTAAAGGAATTATTCAGCCAGCTAAAAAATTCAAAGAGCTGCCCACAGTTATCCACCCCAAAGAACCTGTAGTCTTCTACAAGTGTTCCACCTTCAAAATACATCATCAGAAGGAGTTTTCTAGTCTTTAAACTACGTAGTCTCAATAGAGACAACTGCAGCACTGCTGTATGAGATGACAGATGTAGTGATGGTTACATTTTATATTTTGGCTGAAGTGTCCCTTTAAATTGCTGCAGGCATAAATTGCCCATTTACAGGTCATAAACTCAGAGCTAGTCCTGGAGCAGCTATGGTAGTTTCAGCAGTTCCTGACTGCATTTGTATTAAAAGAGTACATTCATGTATTCACTTATCTACTGAGCCCCGCTGGTGACATCCTGTATAAATAAAAAAAATGCGAGATAATGAGATCCTAATGTGTGGCCAAAACTTAGTAAGGTGTGGGAATGAGATGATTAAGTCGTGGCCATGACTTAGTAAGGCGTGCAAACGAGATCACGGCTTACTAAGTCGTGGCCACGCATTAGGAACTCGTTCTCACGCTTTACTATGTCGTGGCCATGGCTTAATCATCTCATTCCCACGCCTTACTAAGTCGTGGCCACGCATTATTTTTATTTACACAGGATGTCACCAGCAGGGCTCCGTACTTATCCATTAAAATCTTTACTCTTCCATTCATGCATTCATCCTTTTATAGATACGCATCATGTATTCCTTCTTTTATAAATATAGTTTTATCCATCTGTTAATTATTTTAGGGTCAATCCAGCTTTAGATTCACAAATTCGAGGGACAAACTGAATTCAGAAAAATGATTTAATTTCATGGCTGTCCATTAAAATAAATGCTCTTAATTTGGCAATTAAACATAATTGGACAATTAGCTAGTTAAGCAAATATAAGATCATCTGAGTTGACTGAGCTGAAATTTAATTGCTCCCTGGTCCTCTTAGATCACAGTATGTTCATGCCAATATGCTATTTTTGACTTGCTAATTGAACCGTTCACCTCTCAGTATCCCAGAAGATAGTTGCAGCTAAGAAGCAAGCTGCTCTTCTGGCATCATGCAAGTCGCTTCCCAACTCCCCCAGCCACTCTGGATCCTCCACGCCAGTGTCTGCTCCATTCCCAGGACAGGTACTACATTCTGGCAGTTTATCTTCCTTTGGACATTATTATTGGTACACTTGGTCACTGAATGGTTCTGGTGTGATTGCAAAGTAGCACAAATAGTACACAATGGTTCAAACTCATCAAAGTGTTTAGCACACATGCACTGCATCAGGCATCTTGGGTGATCTGATCATAAGCGGACAGCGCTAAGCACAGGTATGTATGAGGTCCACTGCTCCACCTAAGAGACACATTGTGATTTTAATAAACAAGGCAGATTCTTGTCTGAAAACAAAGGCAGCTAGAGACTGATGTAGTAAATGTGCACCCTTCCTCCAAACAATTGGAGGAAAAAATATTTCTGGCTATAAGCTTTAGTTTAAAACTGTGCAGCCAAGAAGTTGTTTTGGTTGTTGCTAACTGATGAGCTCACTGAGGCTAACCTAGCTGAGTGCAGGGCAAGCAAACTAGCAGAGTAAAGAAGTTGTATCAGCAGTCATGTATAACAGATGGAGTAGTCTCTACTTTAAATCCAGCGTGAACACAGCAAATAGAATGGGATGGTTTTAAAATAGTAAAGCTGCAGTATGTAAGATTTGGTAGTAGTAGTGTAAAAGTTGGAGTTGTCAGGTCAGATTTTGCAAGGTTTTTCAGTCATCAGATTCATTCAGTCCTGGAAGGGGACCAAAGCACAGCTGACATTACAATGTTCTTCCGCATGTTACACATTTCCATCAGAGCTTTAACCTTTTTATAGTATTTTGTTGCTATGGCTTATAAACAGCTTTGTCCACCATTATTTTTAAAAAAGAGAATTGGTCAGGATTTCTGGGCAAGAAATCTGAACTAATAAAGTAACAGGATGGTGTTGGGGATTCCCCCGAGGCCAAGTGGACAAGGGCATGTTAAAACCAGCACTGAAACGGGCAGTAGGGGTATACAATTCACTGTCCACTTGTGATTAGATCATTCGAGATGGATGATAATATGTATGACGTTAGTATGAACAGGGCCTAATTTACTGTACACTAGGGCTGCAACAAGTATTTAAAAACAGAACCATCATTTGAATAACATTTGCTATTTTAATGAAACCAGGGACTCCTTTTGTTCACTTATTATGATCTGGTACTTTACATAAATGGAACATTCTCCTCGCAGAAGGAAGCTCTAATGCTCAAAAAAGACCAATATTTAACTGGGTTTATTGGCCAGGCTTACCTAAGCTTAGCTTACACTACCCTGCTGAAAAAAACAGCAAAGCCCAGCATGCATTTGATGCTAGTCTAGGCTGGTCTGCTTCTGGTTTAGTTGGTCACCCTAGCATGGTCATGCTGGTTGACCAGCATGCCAGTGTCAAAACACAACATATACTGGTTTTGATGATGAACAGCCTATCAACTTCCATTGCTGCTGACCAACATAGTAACATCCAAAACACAACATAGGTTGTTTTGCTGGTGACCAGTTGCTGTGATTAATGCTGATCTATGCTGGTTTTTCTAGCACGGTAGCAAACACACTTTCAGCAGAACATAAAAAACAGACACAATAAAGGGCTGTTGTACATGATACTAAAAGAACATAGTAGTTGTTTGGCTCAGATAGGTATGATTTAGCATTTTCTCCTAGCGAAGGATACATCTACACTGCCTAGCCTAGTAACCTCAGCAGACATCGGTTTATACAGACATTTGCTTCAGACATGGCTGGCTGTCTTCCTGCCTCAGAACACTGTCTGACTAGGCAACATTTGTTACATTTGAAACACAGCCAGTATCAGTTTTACATCTAGATGCCGTCCAAATACAAATAAGTTTTCTCTGGATTGCTAGTATATATATTCCCACTAAAAAATGTTTAAAACACATGCAGTTTTTAGCACATGCCCCACTATAAAGAGGTTTTGATTGGCTTAAAAAAAAACCTTCATAATGTCCCATTTACTGACAAGAGTTCACCAAAAAAGAAAATCATTTTTAATATGATGGTTAAAACAAGCTGTTCCTGCTATCCTGTGCCATTACTGCTGTTCAGTGCAAGATGAGGGTTGCCAGATTGGGTAGGATTAAGAATGTTTTATTTATTACCTTGTATTCCCGTTCAATTGTATCATTAAATGCATTAAATGATCATTTATGCAATAGTGCACAATAAAATAAAATATTATTTAAGCCAAAATAAGAATACAAAAGTTTTTTTCTATACAGTGAATACAATTAAATGTCTTTTCTTATTGTCATAAAATATCAGAATATTCAAAAAGGAAAATATTTGATAGTTGCAGCCCTATTGTACACCAACACTTAAATGCTTTGGTAAAAGAGGCCCTAAATTTAGTTGCCACAGTGAGAAAACCTCCCATTTTTCAGACAAGTATCAAAGCCCTCCTCCAATTTTTGGCCTAATCAGCACACATTTCCACAAAGTTGCTTAGAGATTTTTTAGATACCAGAACAGTGAAATGTGTAGAGGAGAGTATTAAGGAAATGTTCAGATTTAGATTTACTTAAAAACATCAAAGCTGCCAAAAAATGAGGTTTTCTCATGATGGCAGCGGTTTACAGAAGCACAGTGTTCTCTCTTGGTGTTTGTCTACTCTACCCTCCTCATTCTTTATCTGTTCCATTTAACATCCCTCTCTATCTGTCCTGTGTCTCTCTCTGTCCCCCTCTCTCTCCCTCTCTCAGGCCAGTAATGGGGGTCAGAGTAGTGATTACTCCTCCTCTTTGCCCTCCACCCCTGTGATAAGTCACAGAGAAATACGGGGAGGGGCAGGGGGAGAGGGGGGCTCGCAGCGAAACGTTCCCCGCCGACGGACCTCCTTGTTCACGGTTAGTTCTCCTGCCTCCATACAGTGCAAAAAAAAAATAAAGCGACCTAGCATGTCCAAATGGAAATAGCACAGAGACTTTTGGGGAGAGAGAGACATTCCCAGTTCATATTATAAGAGCTGTTTGAGCGATGAATGATTGCAGAAATGCTATCATTTCAGAAGCCAAGTAACTCAGACCATGTCAAAGAACCTTTCTGTCATTCTGTCTCTCATCTCATTCCATGTTTCATCTCTGTCCTCCTCCTCTATCCATCTCTGTACATCACTGGTGCTTTATCTGACATGCCTGCCATTTTAGAACCGCCGGGGGAGTGACACTGAGAGGAGGACCCCAGACAGCAGACCTGATGTGGGAAGCAGCAGAACAGTCATTATTAGACAGGTAGATCTTCTGTTCTCTTCAAGGGCAGTAAGTGATATAATGTCTTAAAAGAAAAGCCGCACTATTTTTTTATTATATATTTTATATATTATAATGGAATAAAACAAGGTAATACACACGCAGGAGGTACACCTAAATTGTATTTATAATCATTGTCTATTTTATCAGCTCCACTTACCATATAGGTGCACTTTGTAGTTCCACAATTACAGACTGTAGTCCATCTGTTCCTTTGGATAATTTGTTATCCCACACACTAACGCACCACCACCATGCCAGTGTCACTGCAGTGCTGAGAATGATCCACTACCCAAATAATACCTGCTCTATGGTCTTGACCACTGATGAACAGGTTAAAAGTGGGATAGCAAATTATGCAAAGAAACAGATGGACTATGGTCTGTAATTGTAGAGCTACAAGGTGCACATATATGGTAAGTGGAGCTAATAAAATGGGGAATAAATGTAGATACAATCTACATGTGCCTAATAATAGTGCTCAGTTTCAAGCTTTTAAATGGAACTCCACCAATTTTTCTCTTTTTCTGCATGGTTAAATCATTGCAGCATAAACTGAGTCATTCAGAATAATTTGATGTGAAATAGTTCATTGTAAAGAATTGTAAAGTTTCTTTACAGTGGTGATAGTAACCAGGGTTTATGGTGACTACAATGCAAAATAGCCATTTTATGTACTATCCAAAATGACCAGTAAGCATACATGTGTCTTTTGAGTTTTATATGTAAAGTTAATTATAGTAAATTAGTGGCAAGTCTGAAGTTTTCAGTACTATTTTTCTGCCTTACAACATCCTACATGTATCTCTCCACCATTGATGGATAAAAGAAAGCCAAAAGCTCAAAACTTTTGTAAAACATGGAATGCTATGGCCATCTGGTTCCTACCACCACTGCTGTGAACAACTCTAATACGGTAAATTACTCTAGAGTAAAGCAATTAACATTACTCCAAACAATTTAATCTTAACCATGTATTAAGCAGAAATGTAAAAAAAACTGTTGTAATTCCCCATTTAAAGCATTTATTTAGTAAAAAAAAATGTTCCTTTATAGTCAAAATTGGTCAAATATAGTCTATCACCCAAGACATGTTTGGGTTATGAAATTTGCTACTATAGTTTTAAACTTGAGCTACAAGGCTAATGATGCTAACAAGTGATGGGAGCTTATGTACACCAATTAGCATCACACAAACTGCATGCTTAAACCATGTCAGATTGCTAAGTAATCTCAAATAGACTTTCTTATGAACTTTTTGTGACTGAATAATATGCTGATGTGTATAACAAATGGACAAAAGTATAGACAAAAATTTATAGAAAGTACAGCTTCCACAGCTACATTAGCTTCATAACTTCTGCACAACACTAAAGAAGCAAACTTCAGAAACCAAAGATGTTTCGGTTGATTGATTATATTATGAAGGGAAAATTCTTTTCGTCAAAGAATTGCTTTAATATCAGTCAAAAGTGCTGCTTTATATGAAAAATAAGGACTAATATAAAACCAATAGCCCAGAAATGAAGTCAGTCCCCATTGTTCACACATCATTCACAGGTGGAGAAATCAAAAGTTGATGAAGTTTGGAAAAGTATATGAATTTCCCTTTAAGACTCTCTGCAGATGAAGTGATGAAATGTGTTTTTTCTCTCTGTCAGGGCACTTTATGGAAGCGTAGTGAGCGCTCTTTGAACAAGGAGTGGAAGAAGAAGTTTGTCACTTTGTCCAACCATGGCATGCTGATGTACCATTCAAACATCAATGTGAGCCACATTTCTTCTGTTATGCAAGATGTGCAATGACTGAGTCAGGCTGAAGTCTGTAAGTAATTGAGCAGTGACACAGCTTTTGTTGTATGGCCTCTCAATTCCAGCGCATTGGATTTGATATGAAACAATGACTATGAAGTTAAAGTGCAGACTGTAAGTAGGATTTCGAGGATATAGGGGATGAATCATATATGAATCACTGCAAAAGTAATCGGACAATCTTATAATATGTTAAATAAAACTCATGTTTAATAATTAACTGCAGTTCTTAGCTCCCTAAAGACTTGATGGCTTCCTGAAGAATAAAGCATTATGGCACCTGTATTGACAGTTACCAGTAATGGCAACACGACACTGTTATATTACTAAACAAAATATCTCATGACAATTAACGATAATTAAAAGTAATATTTATAGCGTTGACATAATAATTTAGTAGTTGGTTAGTGAGGAAAGGATTCCACCAATTTTTTAAAAATTCTGCTGTATTAAGTGGTTAAGATGAAAACAGTGTCATTCAGAGCAGTTTGATGTGAAATGCTTCATTGTAGGTCAGATGCTAAGCTCAGTCAGCGTCTAAATGGTGTACATATGCAATAGTGAGGTCAAATCTAGGGGAACAATGTAAAAATCACTGCGTCACGGGACTCATTCAACACAGGGCAGCATTTGGGACAAGTGAACATACATGCACAGATTTCTGATCATTTGGGATCATTATTAAGTTCAGTGATCAATACTTTTATCAGCTGACTGAGCAAATAAATAAATAAATAAATACTTAAATAAATAAATGGCACACATTTTTAAACAATGACAGTAATACAACCGCGTTTCCAAAAGAAGTTGGGACTGAGCAAAATGTAAATAAAAACAGATGTCCAAATCCTTTAAACCCATATTGTTAATAGAAAATAGTGCAAAGACAACAAACGTTGAAATGAGAAATGAGGGAAATGTTATTGTTTTTTTGAAAAATATTTGATGCCAGCAACATGTTTAAAAAAAAGTTGGGAAAGGGCACCAAAAGCCTGGTAAAGTTGTGTAGTCCTAAAAAACATCTGGTGGATCACCTCACAACTAATTAAGTTAATTGGCAACAGGTCAGTAACATGATTGTGCATAAAAACAGCATCACAAGTAAAGATGGGGAGGGGTTCACCACTCTGTGAAAGGCTGTGCAGGCAAATGGTGCAACAATTCAAGAATAACGTTTCTCAACATAAAATAGCAAAAACTTGGGAATTTCATCATCTATAGTACATAATATCATTAAAAGATTCAGAAAATCTGGAGAAATCTCTGTATGCAAAGGACGAGGCCAAAATCCAATATTGGCTGGCTGTGATCTTTGGGCCCTCAGGCGGCACTGCATTAAAAACAGACATGATTCTGTAGTGGAAATCACTGCATGGACTCAGGAACACTTCCGAAAACCACTGTCTTTTGTTGCTTAAAACGCTACTGTGGAAAGAAACAAAAACATATAGGTATAAACAGGACCTGGAAATGCCGCCACCTTCTCTGGGCCTGTGCTCATTTGAGATGGACTGAGGCAAAAGGAAAAGTGTCCTGTGGTCCAACAAATCAAAATCTGAATTTTTTTTTTGGAGATCATGGATATCGCGCCCTCTGGGCTAAAGAGGAGAGGTACCATCTGGCTTGTTGTCAGCACACAGTTCAAAAGCCAGCATTTATGATGTTATGGAGGTGCATTAATGCACATGGCATGAGTGACCTGCACACTTGTGAAGGCATCATTAATGCTGAAAGATATATACAGTTTTGGAGCAACATGCACTGCCATCCAGATGACGTCTTTTACAGAGAAAGCCTTGCTTATTTCAGCAAAACAATGTGAAACCATATTCTGCACGTATTACAACAGCATTGCTCTGTAGTAAAAGAGTCTGGGTGCTAAACTGGCCTGTCTGCAGTCCAGACCTGTCACCCACTGAACACATTTGGCGCATTATGAAATGAAAATTATGACAAAGGAGATCCCAAAATGTTGTGCAACTGAAATCCTACACCAAGCAAGAAAGGGAAAACATTTTACTTTCAAAATCATAGCAGTTGGTCTCCTCAGTTCCCAAACAACACAGAGTGTTGTTAAAAGAAGAGGTGATACAACACAGTGGTAAACATGCCCCCGTCCCAGCTTGTTTGAAACAGGTGGTTGGCATCAAATTCAAAAAGGTTATCTATTTTTCAAAAAGCAATAAAATTTCTCAGTTTTAATATTGGATATGTTGACTTTGTACTATTTTCAATTAAAAATAGGGTTTAAATAATTTGCACATCATTGCATTTTGTTTTTATTTACACTTTGCACAGCATACCAACTTTATGGAAAAAAGTTTAAATTGTATTTATATAGGCCCTAAATCCTGAAAGCAAAGAATTCAGGGCACAGAGCTAGGGGGACTGGTGGGGTGCAGGTTGGCTCACAGTTTATGAATACACTGCCTGATGCTTTATGATAATTTTGAGAATAGCTTTTGGCTAAAATATATTAATAAATGCATACACAGTGGAGAGATGCATGCAGGGTATTGTAAAGAATCATAGTCCCTGAACTAGAGGTTCCACCCACATCCACAAAAATTCATCCCGCTCCCACAGAAAATCTATGCTGCTTGCTCCTGCGGTCCCGCGGTCCCATATAGCTGGTTTCTATCTGCATTAGTCACAACTGAAAATGACTGCCACATATCAGGCTTGCCTTTAGTCAGCTTTCTGAAGATCACTTTCCACTGCTGTATCCATCTGACTGTCTGAAGGCTCCACCATTTCTGTCGCATACTAGAATGCAGTTTGCGTGTTCACATGATTGGTAGATTAGAATAAGTTGATTAATTTTTGTTATTTTGATGTTAGATATTGTGTGTTTATACTAAATATTAAGTGGTTGCTGACCTTTTATTTAGGTTATTTCTCTACACTTCTCTATGCTCCTGCGTGTACTCTGCGGTTAACCACCCACTCCCACGCACCACACTGAAAATTAGCCCCGCGCCACAGTTTGTTTTTAACTTTTTAAAACCTGTTCGTTTTGGATACTAAAAAATGGCTGTATGTGAATTGTAGAAATTGCAACCCCTGGTTCCTCTCACCACCACGGTAAATACATTTTGAGCCAGTATGTTTCTCTACAGTGAGCCGTTTCACACATTTCATCTCAATGGTTAAATAATCAAGAAATTTGAGAACTCCCCTTTAATCTTCCCCCTTCTGAGACACAGTGCCAGCAACTAATAATGACACGTGCAAATAAAAGTTAACAACAGTTTATGAAATCCCACTAGTTTTTTCACCTTAGATTCACTCACAGTCTGTTTATGCAGAAGATTCACACCCAACCTGACGTTATCACTGCAGTGCGTCGAGTGAAGTAAAGGGGAAGATAACTAAAGCAGGTTGATGTGAGAAACTACAGTGGGACTGAGAACCATGTTCTGCTTCCTCTTTTGCTCTTTCTAAATATTTCATTTGATCTCTGAATTCGCAGTAAGACCTATTCTTGCCGTTTCAAATCCGTTTAAGATGAACGTACACTCTCTCTTCCAGCTGTCATCGTGGGAGGTGATTAATGAAATAAGAACTGTCTTTGTTTAGTATTTATGCTTTGGGCCTATTCCAAAATAACCTACCTAAACAGCCTCTATGTTTCTGGAGAGAAATTATTGGAGTAGGCCTTACCACACTCGATGCATCAAAGAACTGAAAATGTATGCTTACATAATGTAAATGAAATGCAGTATTAAGAAGTTACGGTACAGTGCAAAAGTCACTCTTCATTTATTTAATTTGCAGTAAAATCAATGGTTAAGTACTAGTTATTTATTGTTCATGAGATATTTCTGAGGAGGTTAGATTATTAAAAATGATTATAATAACATGATTCAAAGATGTTGAGAAAATGTGACTCCTAACAACTGTGCAAGACCCGGTCTACCACCAAAACTATCACCATCAGATAAACAGCACTTAAAGTTTTCATCTTTGAGAGAGAAGAGATAATCAAGCTCCACTCTTGCTACAGATCTTAAAAAATCCACAGGTGTTTCTGTCCATCCTTCCACTGTGAGAAAACATACCAACACTGTGAGTCTGAAAGGATGTTCAGCTTCAAGAAGTCATTACTGAGAAAAGGAAATGGTTAAAAAAGAAAATCATTTCAGAAAATCAAACAAGGAAGCTGCTGGTGTTCGCAGAACAAAATAAAGTGTGGTCTCTGACTTTTGCAGAATACTGTATTTCAGGAGCCTCTTTACCAAAGAAACAAACCTTTAAAATAATGTAGTTCTATACTAATTAAAGTTTTCCATAGACTTGTACACTTAAGCCAAGAGACATTTAGAAACCTTTATTTTTAAGAGTGGAAGATGCTTCTATACATCTCAGAATCCTTGCTCCTTAACTTGAGACAACAGCAACAAACTCTGGAAAATTCCACATCCATAATCACCTCTAGACCTTTACAACTAACAATGCAGCAACACACATTTGGCTAAAAAGCAACAGTCTGATTTTTGGTCCCCAAAATAATTTAAAAAACTTTTTAAAAGTTTTTTTTCCCTAAATGTAGACATACACCCCCTCAAAATGGAACTGACAGTGTGTATTTCACTTTAATTTCAATTGTTTAACTTCAAATTCACTACAGGGGTCTGACAACAAAAACTGTGTCACTGTCCAGTTACCTATGGACTGGGCTGTAAGAGCAACAGCAGTTACAGATTATCACTTAAACAGAAAAGTAGCTCAAAAGATGGAAACACCCACTTTTGCTAGGACATTTGAGAAGTGAAAGAAGTAAATTGAATGTGTACGTCAACAAGCGTAAATCCTGTGTGCAGGAGTACAAGCAGAACACTCATGGTAAAGAGATGGACCTTCTGCGTGTGACTGTGAAAGTACCAGGAAAGCGTCTGCCCCGGGCGGCACCTCCGACTGGCCCCGCCCCCGGGGTCAATGGTCTTACAAAAGACAAGCCAGCATCTGAAGGCGGGACCTCATGTGAGTGAAGGCTGGACACTCTTTTTCTTTAGATATTACACAGCAAACTCTTTGCCTTGCCTGACCTGTGTCTCATTCTCATTATGTATGCAGCAAATCTGCTCACGGTAGATGAGGGGGGCAGCACCATGACATTGCCTCAAGATGAACAAAGGGTCAAACGCTGCCCGTCGTCTGTATCCAATAAGGGAGTGAGCATGGGTACGTCAGTGCTTTACAGAAACTGCAGGAGCAGCTCCGGTCCTCTTGTCTCTGCCTTAAAGCAATGGTTTAGCCAAAAATCTATTTTATTCTGTTTATTTATTCTATTTATTTTTTTGTTTTCATCAAACCCCAAATATAGTTACAGTGCAAAAATGATATCTGGGTAAGTGAAAACATCTTAAACATATTGACAACATATTGAATGTTTCTCATTATGAGGCTGTTGTACGAATATTATAAAGTTATTCAACTATTCTCTAGATGTTTAAACTTGTTTTAAGAGACAGAACATGTCTGCAGATGAAATCACTTAAAACAAGCAACAAATCTTAAAAATAGACTGTATAATCTTATATGTTCCCACAACAGTCTCAAAATGAAAACTATTTGATATATCCACTAGATTTAAGATGATTTTACTTGCCAAGATATATTTTTTGTGGTGTAATCAGTCAAGACCAGTTAGGGGCCTTCAGTTTTTCACTGGAGCATCAAGGCTAATGTAGCTAACAAGTAATAGAAACCTACAGCAACCAAGTTAGCATTGTGCAAACTGCATTGCGCACCTGCTTCAAACCACACTGAGTTGTTAAGTAATCTCAAATAGACTTTCTAATGTGGTTCTGACACCATATAACATAATTATCTATAAAAGCGAAGTGCTATATTTCAAGCTTTGAATTATCAATGTGACAGACTTCCGTCTGTTTTTTTTAACAGTATCACATTTTTAATAAGAGAAATCACTTAAGCAGGTTGTTTAAGGTTACTTAATATCTTGAGGCAAATGTGTGATGATTTAAGCTGCCGTTTTCACAATGCTATCTTGGTCATTATCAGCTTGCTAGCTACATTAGCCTTGTAGCTCCAGTGCAAAACCAGAGAAGAAAACCTCAGACACCACATGTCTTGACTGATTGACTATATTCTCTTAAGCTCATTTAATTCCGTATTATGGAGATCAGTCATGTAGCCTTGTAGCCTTTCCTATGTTTAGGAAGCCAGAAAAAGTCAGGTGTACTGATTCTGATAAATCCTACGCAGTTCAGAAGATCTGACAAAGGTTTGATTTCTGCACTCTAACAGACTCCAGCATTGAAGGGGCTCTAGGCTCTCCTCTGGGAAAAGAGCTGACCCCATCCTCCCCTATGAGTGACAGGAAGAAGACCAAGAGGAAGAAGAGCATGAATGTGAAAGGAGACATTGCAGCCAGCCAGGCTGACGGTGAGCCCCACTAGAACTATACAAAAAGCCTGACGACCCTACTGAATTATAAGCTTTTAATAGGGATGGGACGATAAGAGATTTTGAATAATTGACTAACTGGGCCAAATTTATTGTTAAATATGAATATCGTTATTTAAACCTCAGGTATTCTATAGTTTAATCAGTATTCCTAGGACAGTTCCTATTTTTGCCAGAGGGGGCAGCAAAGCCAACAAACGACTAAACATTTAAATAAAAGCAAAGATCATATATATATATACATAATATATATATATACATATATATATATATATATATATATATATATATAGTTCAAGTCTTATGTTGTCCACTTCACCCCTTTCTCGTTTTACTAGGGCAACAACAGCAGACTGTATAAACCTGGCAGCTGCCTCGACAGGCCCAATAAAACTGTTTTTTCAAAAATCAGCTCGTTTAAAAATGCTCAAAGGCCCAAATTAGGCCCAAAACAGCCTCTGTTACCTGGATAAAGGGGGGATGAGTCCCTAACCAAAACCACGATATTTAGCACATAGTTAAGGCCAGTGGTAAGGATTTCTGGTCCTGGTGGGCTGAATTCCTGCACAGTTTGATGACGTTCCTTCACTACAAAAAAAATTATATTTTGGCAAGTGAAATGATCTTAAAGTGGATATGTCTAATATTTGTCATTTTAAGATTGTTATAAGCTTATTATAAGATTATTTAACTTATTCCTATATATTGCTGTTGTGTGAAGAAAACCTAATATCTCCAAAATGATAACTTTACAGAAAAAGGAAAAAACCCACTTTACTTTTAATGTAAGTCAATGGAAACAGAATTAAAAGGTTAAAAGCGTTTACAAATCATGTCAAAAACTGAAAAACGACAAAAATGGAGATACGAGGTTTTGTTTCAACAGCAGCGATATGTTTTTACTTGTTTTAAGTGATTTTAGGAAAAAATATGTCAATTTATTAGCTTGTTTCATGTACATTACTTACACCAAGCAAAATTATCTGCCAATAAAGTGAAATAGTTTGACTACTTACTAAAACATCAGTGATCACTAAAATCACTAAAAACAAATAAAATATGTCTAGAAATAAGTAAAATATGCTTATAATAAGCTTACAACAATCTCACAATGAAAAACATTAGATATATCGACTAGATTTAAGATAATTTCACTTGCCAAGATACCATTTTTGTAGTGTTCTCAGACAAACCTGACTCAACTTATTAGATAATTACCAGGTTTAGTAGGTGTGTTAAAGCAGGAAAATCACCAAACTCTGCTGAACTCTGGCCCCCAGTTCCCCGTCCATGGCTTAAGACTACGAAATACTCAGAAACAGTTCTGTGCGGGTCATTTAAACCAGGACTGGAGTTTTGGATAATGGAGTTTGGAGTGTAGAATGCTTATGCATATAGGAAGAGAACAAAAACAATAAATTTTACCTATTAATTTCATGGCCGTTATTGATGATTGTTTTTAAAAAATACATATTTAGGGGCCCATATCCTGCATTTTTCTGTATTTTATTGGTCCACTTATGACGTTTACTTGGCTCTATGTACCAAAAACAGTCATAATTAATTTTACGTGACCATTTTCAAGCCTCTCCTTATCCTTAGAATTAAACAGGCTGTTTTTGTTTCTGTGCTGTTAAGACTGCTATATGTAAATGAGCTCCATTCTGATTGGCTTCCCTGTATTAATGCCTCACTGAAAAAAGAAATCCAGGCTGAAACACTATATAAGTCTGTGACATCACTGTGAGGGGGCAGGGCTAAACTGCTGTGGGCTGAATGAGCGTGCATGTGTAAGCGAGTTGGCTGTCATGACATAACAAAAACAATAATTTCAAAACAGGCTGTTTTTCATATATGGACTATATGGACTGTGGAGTGAACCGTACGTTTTGAATTATTAACAATGTTTACATACGACAACTCCATAATATGGGCTTTTAAAATTATAAGTCAAGATTAGAAATTTTGGCCTGAAAGAGTTCTATCACATGAATCCTACCGCTAAGTTTTGCCTGCCATCTGTTCTTTCTGCCTCTCCTTTATGATGTTCATGCAGATCTGACACAATGCAACTGCATTCTCTGAAATCACCTTATGTTCTCTTTTGCTTCTCTCCTTTTCTCCTCCCTTCCCTTTCTCTCTCTCTCTCTCTCTCTCCCCCTTTTGTCCTCTGCTGTCCTGGGCTAATTTCTCGCACTGCAAGCCAAGCGCAAAATGTGGAAATTGAAAAGCTTTGGTAGCTTGAGAAACATTAACAGAACAGGTAATAAGGAGCGGCGTGGATGAGATTGTACTGTTGAGCTCCAGAATGCCTGGCTGTTGCTTCGCTGTATGTGTGTCGTTGTTCATTTCTCAGCCTTGGTGCCACATCATTAGATTACAGCAAATGGATTTGTGCACCCATTTCCATCCTTCTCTCTGTCTCTTCCTCACTCCCTCTCTCTCTTTCTCTCTCTCATATGTCATGGTAATGAGAATTTGATGTATTAGTCTGAGGGCTTCAATGGGTGTCTTCCATTGATTACTTCCTCTCTGGTAAATAACTGTTGCCCATTCCTTGCAGAGGAGGAGAGCGCAGACTTTATCATCATATCGAGCACGGGGCAGAGCTGGCACTTCGAAGCCCAGAATCAGGAGGACAGAGATGCCTGGGTGCAGGCCATTGAGAGCCAAATCCTCGCCTCTTTGCAACTGTGTGAAAGTAGAAATAAGGTTGGTTTGGCAATGAATGGTAATCAAAACTGTGGTATCTGTAGGTCAGGGTTGCCCAGTTTTACCCAGAAAATGGTAATGTTTTCATTCCAATCAAGCAGAGGCACTCCTAGTCTCAGCTTCAGATGCTCAGCCCACAGAGGTACAGACCACCTGATATCTATTGCACGTTAAAGGAGCAATACAGCTAAAATGAAAGATGTAACCTTCGCTGCATCTGTTGTAAACATGCTTATTTGCTGCTAAAGTGGCACCACAGTGGTTAAAGAGTGAGATTTTCTGGTTTAAAGACAAGGGAAACCACCTTTTGATGATGTACCTTGAAAGTAGGAGAATCTGCAGATGTTTTGGGGTGGATACTTGAGGACGGGCTATTTGATTTTTTTGACCGTTGGCTGGTGAATGCAGAAGGAAGCCAGAGAGCTAATGGTACTGACAGGAAGCCAGATGTCTTGTGTGTATTTATTAGCCTCTACATCAGTGGATTTCTTTATTGCTGTGTTGGGGGATTCCCAATGGTTATATTATGTGTTTGGGTATTGCATGCTGGATATCGCAGTGAGAGGAAACCGATGAGGACGAGGGATGCAATGCTGCACTACAGGGTATCACATAACATGACAAATAATTTATTAAATGCTAGTCTTAGGCCAGAATGCCCTTTAAGTTGGCCACAATTATCAAGATTTTGTCAGTTGCATTCTAACAGGCTACCTGAAAATCCATGGTAATGTACCAGTTTTAATCTAATGGAAACACTGCTTTACAAGCAGGTGCCCATTCTATGCACTGTGACATGTCTTCTGAAGCATGTAGATATCGTAGCTCAACTGAAAAACGTGTTAATATTATGGCATCACATCTTATATAGCTTGTAAGTGAGATATCTTGACATTTTCCTGCACATACAACTTTGTTAATAACAGATTTTTTGTTGTTTTTTTTTCTACATGCCTAGTATTGGTTAGTCAAATGGGACACCATGGTGTAGCTCAGACGTATAGCATTTTAAGCTCAGCATCTAGCACCTCAACAAAGTGTCTTTCATGTCTTTCATGGGATTTCTTTCTATTGTTCTGTAAATCTTGTCCAACCTGGTGACAGTTGCTACATGAGAACACTATGACTAGGCTGATTGATCAGGTGTGTTTCGCTTCTGCTTTGTTGGAATAAGAACCACGCCAGCCCTTTTAGGTAAGATTGGACACCCCTGCGCTAGGTGAATGAAAATGCTAACCATAAATGTGTGCATATATGTGTGCCTCAGACTCGAAGGTGCAGCCAGAGTGAAGCTGTGGCAATACAAGCCATTCGCAATGCCAAAGGCAATGACCTGTGCGTGGACTGTGAGGCACCAAGTGAGTACTTCCTTAACATATTACTGAATCACATGAATATCATAACGTGCACAGCAACAACAACATCTGTGTAGCTACGAAAACTGCAAGTACACTATAGATGTATAGATGATCCTTATTGTTTCCTCCTAACAGATCCCACTTGGGCAAGTCTTAACTTGGGGGCACTCATTTGCATTGAGTGCTCAGGAATCCATCGGAACCTTGGGACACACCTGTCCCGAGTGCGCTCCCTGGACCTGGATGACTGGCCCAGTGAGCTTACCAAGGTACTAACAGCTATAGGCAACCACATGGCTAACAGCGTCTGGGAAAGGTGTACACAAGGGCGCCAAAAGCCAACACCTGAAGCAACAAGGTGAGTGGAACCTTTTGGGTTTGTTTCTGTTAAAGGCAACAAATCACAGCAAAGCCTGCCTGTACTGATGTTGTGGATAATCCAAGGTGCAGTTTTTGCAAGCCGAATGATCTTTTACCATCTTTTCAGTGCACATGAGCAGTTCCCAACTCTCTTACCAAAATCCAAGCAACAACTCCTAATCCTAAGAGTGAAGCGAAATCTGGTGATACACAGATAAACAGACTAGTTTCCTTTGCCTGTTTCATTTGTGTTTGACTCAGAGAGCAGAGGGAGTCGTGGATCCGGGCTAAATATGAGCAGAAGCTGTTCGTGGCGCCCTTGCCGACTCAGGGTGGGAGCCCAGGGGAGGTGACGTCAGCTCAGCTGCTCAGCGCCATCACGGAGAGAGACCTTCCTAGACTCCTGCTGCTGTTGGCTCACAGCACCAAGGAGCAGCTCAACGCCCCGCCAGCAGGCTCCCCTCTGCAGCCTCAAAGCCCCTTACATGCTGCCTGCCAACTGGGAGAGGTAGTCATGACTCAGCTCCTAGTCTGGGTAAGGATTGCATATGCCATGAAAATATATTAACATATATGAAAATACAGTACAGTACCTGACCATTGCCAATAATCTCCATTAAGAGTTAATTAGTGCATTCCATTATGTCTAAACATAATGCCAAAATCCAATAATAACCAATCGCAATATAGCTACTTTAAGTCATTTTACCAAAGTTAGTGTGAAAATGTAGCTAATATTCTATATGGTATATGGAATATACAGCATACACCAGCATTTTTATGTACATTCACTTTTCTTCTTAATAAATGTTGTTACTTTATATACAGTAACAACTTGAACAATACAGATTTAAATGCTACTCTAAATATCTAGTTATAGAATTTTTACCTTGAGATACCTATCTACCTTGAGATAAGACATATAACGTATTATGGATATAAAGTTTAACACAATTTGAACAAGTCATTTTTTAATCATCTGCAGCTCTGTTCTTCATTCTGGACACATCAAAATATGTATTTATGTATTATAAATGTTAACCTCTTGAATCCTAGGCTTGCTGATATTATCCATCTTAAAATATGATAATGTTGAATATAAATAACAAAAATAATAAACACTTATTTTTCCGTGATTTCTATACAGTAGTCAAAAACTACTATGAAAAATATTGGCCCACAAACAGACTTATAGAGTTTATTAACCCCTTAAAACTGCAAAGGACTGTGTGAGGGACCAATCTTCAGTTCCTCACTCTGAGTAACTATATAAATTACAGATTAGTTTCACAGCAGTTACTAAATGATGTATAGTAGTTGCTTAATAATAAACCTTAAGCTTAAAAAACTAAATACTCTGCTTGCAGTTGATTTAAACATTTTTATGTTCAGCTATCATGGATTTCCTCAGATATTTAACAACCTTTTAGCCTAACCTTAGACTTTTGTGTATAAGTGCTTCACTAGACAATAAGTTTGGTTTTCAACGCTCTGTGATTTTAATCTTTTTCTCATTTTAGTATGGCAGTGACGTGAAAGCAAAGAATCCTCAAGGTCAAACCGCTCTAACGCTGGCACGGCAAGCTGGAAGCCAAGAGTGTATTGAGATCCTGGTTCAACATGGCTGCCCCAACGAGACTTCACCGACCGCACCCACACCCATTCTCTCTCGCAAAAGTAGCATCACGAGTCTCGGACGCACCAACTCCAGGAGAAGGATCACATAACTTGGAAAACGTCATGGACAGATAAATCTTCTTCCTTTCTGACAAAACTGGTCCATTTTTATTTCATTTTGTTACAAAAGCTGTGTATGTCTCTGTGGGTGTTCTTCTCTGTCCTCATTCATAAACAACCCATCAGATTCCTCCTCAGAAAAGGCAAAAAATGTAAAAAATGTCATTGTATGAAATAAAATTAGAAATGTCTTTTTTGAAATACAGATACTGTTTCAGTCAGTTAAAGCAATATTATACATGCTAATTATACTGTAATATACCTATTACAAAGTTAAATGTAGCCTAGAGAGTTTCTCAAAGCAATCTGAGGACATGTACTCGTCATTACTGTACGACTGTCATAAAAAAAAAAACTGTTCCTTACAACAACCAACAACTGAAGGTGAATTATCATGTTTATATGGGAAAGGAATAGTATTTGTCATTGTGCAGCATTTCTAAGTACTAGAATTAATAAACTTCAATCTTTAAACCTTTTGGTAACATCCTCCTGTTTTTTTTAGGGTTGGAGGCCAAACCAAATTTACTTAAGCATGAGTAATCAGCTCATTTCTGAAAAAGTCTAACTGAGGATTTGTTATTTGAGCCAGAACAACTCAGAAGGAAAGATTCATGTAAAGGTTAGGTACAAGCATATGTCTTAGAATATGTATTATTGACAAAATCGTCGGTTCAAGTGCACATAAAGCACTTTCCTGATGCCGGAATTTTAATTGATTTTTTCAAAATTTCTTGAGATGTACAAACCCAATTGCAAAAAAGGGATAGCTTGTGAAATGCTAATAAAAACAGAAAGCAGTGATTAGTCAATTCTGTTCGACCTATATTCAACTGAAAATAGTAAAAAATACAATATTAAAATACACAATATAAACACAAGTTTTAGCCTATAAACTCTATTGCTTTTGTAAATATTTGCTCATTTCAAATTTGATGCCTGCAACATGTTCCAAAAAATGGGACAGGAGTATGTTCAGTACTGTGTTACATCACCTTTCCTTTTAACAGCGACTGAAGACACAAATTGATCCAGTTTTGTAAGCAGAATATTTAGCCATTCTAGCTGTGCAACCGTACAGCACCTTTGTTGTTGTATTTTGAGCTTAATAAGACACACATTTTCAATGGGAGACTGGACTGCAGGTAGGCCAGTCTAGCACCTGCACTCTCTGATTATACAGCCACGCTGTTGTAACATATACAGAATGTGGCTTGGTGTTGTGATGTTGTGTGGATGTGCCTGAAAGGCAGCATATGTTTCTCCAAAATGTGTTCAGTGTTAATGGTGCCTTCACAGATAAGTTAACACAGCAAGTTACCCACTAATACCCCCAATACCATGACAGACAGATATTTTGGCCTGATGTTGGTCTTTTCTTTTATACACAGAGATTTCTCTGGATTCCCTGAATCTTTTTATGTCATTATCCACAGTATAGGGTGAAATACCTGAAGTCTCTGCAATAGCTCGTTGATGAACATTATTTTTAAACTGTTGGATTATTTGCTGTTGCATGTCTGGCAAAGTGACAAGCCTCAAGCCATCCTTGCTCATAAAGGACTAGGCCTTTTCTGGATGGACCCAAGCATGACTGCATCACCTGTTTAAGATGTTTTTTTTCCAAACATTTCACAATATTTCTAGTCTTAATTTGCTCCTGTCCCAACTTTTTTGAAACGTGCTGCAGGCAATTTCAGAATGAGCATATATTTACAAATAAAAAGTTGATTAACTAGAACTTTACATATCTTGTCTTTGTACTACTTTTATTGAAATGCAGGTTAAAACAGATTTATAAATCTGTCCGTTTTTTTTTTGTTTGTTTTTATTTTCATTTTACCTACAACTACGTCCCAACTTTTTGGAATTGGGCTTGTAAGTTATTCAGAGTGGTTAAATGTGAAATTGCTCGGTGTAGAGAAATTTAAAGGCTCAGATTTCTTTACAGTGATGGTGATGGGAACCAGGGGTCGTGACACAAATGCATCCATTTTATGTACTATCCAAATAAACAGTGAACCTACACATTTTATGAAATGTTGATGATGATAAAATAGTGGTAAATGTCAAAAAATACGTTTTCTGTGGGGACTATTTGCCTTAAGACTCCATGCATGCATCTTTCTGCCATGAATAGATTTCAAAAATATACATTTTAGGCTAAAACTTAATATCTAAACCGTCATAAAACAATGTCTCAGACATCAGGCAACGTATTTGTAACCACTTCATGTAATAACTTCCAGTGAGGGAACTTTTAGAGGCATTAAACGCTTCAAATGTCTGGTTCCTATCAACACCATTGTGAACAATTCTGACTCTGTAAGTTTCTCTAAAATGGTGCTTTTACGTCAAACCACACTGAATGACTTTGTTTACATACACTTAATCATTTAATTACGCAGAAAGTTTGAAAACAATATGTGTGCTGTTAATGTTGTTAAGTACTTGTTTTGTTAATGAACTAAACATATCTCAAGTTACAATGTATTCCAGGATGCAACGGCACACATCTAGCTGTTGAGTTTTGTGACAACTTGTTTGTTCGGAATTTATAAAAATCTTTCCTTGTTTATCAGAAACTAATTCAATTGTGAAATACAACAAAACTTGAATGGTTTCTTCTCATTAGAGTCTGAATCCTAATTTGAAAACTGAATAAGGTACTTTGTCTGCAGGTTCTTGTGCAGACGGTAGTCTCTGAAAAATGAAAGTTGGTTTGTTAAAGGGGAATTCCATAGATTTTTCATAATGACTGCATAGTTTAGCCATTAAGTTGTGAACAAAGTCATTCAGAGTGGTTTATTGTGAAATGCTCCCTTCTAGAGAAACTTGCTGAATCAGAAGTGTTCATAGTAGAGATGATAGGAACCAGACATCTGAAAGCCTCTAAACTGTACCTCAGATACATCAAATGTGTGTTTTTTTTTTTAGATTTACCACTATTTAACCATTAATAATATTACATATAAAGCTCAGAAGACGTGTAGGTTCACTGGTCATTCTGGATACCAAAAAAAAAAACAGTTATATTTGCACTGTAGGCATCACTGGCTCCTATTACCAACACTGTAAAATAAACGGTTGTTAGTTTTTCCGCATTGCACTGCTTTGCTCTGAATGTAAATGTTAATGTGTTTAAATTCCCCTTTAAGCTATCATCATATGGAAGAAAAATACATTTTTATTTATATTTTATACATAAAATATATATAGTCTTATGGAAAAAAATATAGCCATTTAGCAAGTCATAATAATGGGAAAGTTTTCCATAATTATGACTTGCTATGTTATAATGATGAGTTCCTAAATCTCATAATTATGAGATAATCATAAATATGAGATTGTAAGTCATAATGACATAATAGCCATTACTATGAGATACTAAGTCATAATTATAAGAAAATAAGTGACTAAACGGCTAAATGGCTATATATTTTTTCCAGTGGCAGAAATGGGCTTCCATATAGTCAAGATTGTGTTAGAGCTAATGTCATATAAACCTAAACCTTCTGTCATACTTTTTTGCATGTAGATAAATAAATTATCCCAGGAAGAGAAAGAATAAAAGTGGTAATATTGGCATGTGACAGAACCAGAGACAGTACCACTCTGTATTAAACAAGGCCAGTAGTATGTCTTATTTATAGGCCTGCATCATAAGTGTCGCTGTGTGCTGTAGTATTTTTTTAAAGATGACACTAGTGGCAGTGTTTATTTGTTCAACTATAACTGAATCACGTACCCCACCTTTTCAAGAGTATATTTACTTCTGCTTTTCTCACCCTCTTATCCTCCACTCCTTCCCATGTCTGGGCTATTCAGTCGATGTTGTTTGGGTGTCTCGCTAAATGCAGTGCAGTGCAGTTTGAGGTTAAGGTGGCTGACTTCATGAGGAATCTTAAAAACATAAGCGCTCTCCCAGCCGGCTGCTCATTCCAGTTTTGATAGGGCTGCTCCGGCTCATTGTATGTTAGCCATTAGCCTCTGAGTCGAGGAGAGAAGTACATAAAACTGGAGAGGAGTACTGTTCACTGTAAACTACCGCCGCTCTGTGGGTAAATAGACGATTCTATATTTCCACCTATTTACGTGCTGACAGTTGTTACTGAGCTACTTCAGCACACGTTTACGGGAATTGGATTTCAGCGCCAGCCGCTATCGCGCTAGCCGCCTAGTTGGCCAGGTTAGCCAAAATAAGCTAACGTTCCGCTAGTGTACAGAACCCAGTGGACCAAGTAGCTTGTTGGCTAACGTTAGACATGTTTAAGTTAAATGGTCAATTAATAAACCTTAGTTCAGTTGAATTAGCCAGCTATCTGACCTGGCTGCCAGGTTTCTCACAAAAACACGTTAACTGTTTTTCCGGATAGACTTCAAAATGCATTACATGCTACCGTGAAAACCTCCTTTGTTTGCTAGCTAGACCGCTAGTTCGCAGGCAGATACGCCGTAGTAAGGAAGATAACGTTACGTTGTAGGATAGTTTGGTTAGCGTTAGCTACCTGCAGTCTGTTTAGGATTGTCGTTTAGATGGTACCTAAAAAACATAACCGTGACCAACTAACTTGTTTCTTAAGACTTTCATAAACGCTGTATTTTCTCCACAGTTTCACAGAGTATAGTATGTGTGTTTTTCATTTAACGCACCAACGTTACTCAGTTTCCCCCCCTTGTTTATGACCAGCTTGCTTAGTTAGCTGATGTTTGGCCTGAGGTGTTATGCTGAAAAGACCTTTAGAACCATTAGGGTTAAAACCTGATGGTTTGCCTTTCTTATAGGAATTGGCTTAATAGTTACCATTAGACACCACTAGTTTCCTGTAGGACACCTTTAGATTCCTTTAGAAAACCTTCAGGTTCATCTGGAATCAGTCCCAGGACACCTGCTAAACCATTATGATCCTTTACACTGTGATATCAGCCCTTCAGGAAAACACAAAATACCATTACTGACTACTGGACACCACCAGGAACAACAGAAACATTTAATGATTTCTGTTTTTTTTTCAGCAGGGACAGTTCAGCAGTTTGTTTCATGAGGAACACAGACTAGTCACTGTGTCATTCTTTGTCTCAGGTAACTACCTACATTAGGCAACTTAGGATGGTGCAGGGTTTTCTTTACGCTACATATTTTGTGATGATCGTAAAGTTATATCAGCTGATATAATAGGCAAGGTCTGACGAGCAGCAGCACAAATCTACCTATGGTCGGTTTCCCAGACCCAGAATAAAGGGGAATTCCACCGATTTTGTGATGTCTGCAAGATTAAAAGGTTCAGATGCAAACAAAGTCATTCAGAGTGGGTTGGTGTGAAATGCTCCACTCTAGAGAAACTGACTGAGTCAGAATTGTTCCCAGTGGTGGTGATAGGAACCAGATGTCCGCCTCCAAAAGCTCCCTCACAGAAGGTTATTTGCATGTAATGGTTACGAATGTGCTGCTTGATGCCTGAAACGTTTAATGAAAGTTTTAAGAAAAAGCTTTGGCCTATAACATAGTTTGGCGAAATAGTAACTAGTAGAAAACTTGTATTTTTAGATTTAACATTATTTTTCCATTATCATCATCACATGTAACGTCTTAGAGGACGTGTAGGTTCACTGGTGGATTTGGATAGTAAGTAAAATGGCTATATTTGTGTTGTAGACATCGCATCACTGGTTCCTGTCATCAACACTGAAAAAGAAAAAGTTAGTAAGTTTCTCTAGAATGGAGCATTTCACGTTAAACCACTCTAAATGACTTTTTACATCTCACCAACTGACTTGCCAAGACAAAATGGTAGGGGTGCACAATGTTATTGGAATCATATCGGTGTTGGCAGATAACCGGATAAAATTTTGTTAATTTTACTGCATTTTGTAACTCTATGAAAGTAAATTTTGTATTTTTCTGTAATGCGAATCCTGTTGAATTTAGTCCCAATTTCTACATTTTATAAATTTGTATATATCATTATTGACAACGGCAAATATGACATATCTATGTGCATCCCTAAAAAATAGGATTTTTAATTGCAGCAATTTAGTCCAGGGCTTAGTCCATGCCCGAGAAAACGGTTCAAACCTTTAGAACCAAATTACAGTCTGGTGTAACTGTGATGAGGTCAGTGCTCATGAACACTTATGGGTTATCTTGTATGCATTGTGTTCCAGTTAATCTAAGCTGCAGTGCCAGCCATGCGGATCAGGCTGCAAGGCTCAGGCCACGCGGCCCTTCTCCTCTCCGAACTCAACCGCTGTCGCCTCTCGCGGCTCCTCTGTGATGTGGTCCTGCAAGTCGGAGGACGTTCTTTCCCTGCCCATCGTGCAGTGCTTGCCTGTGCAGGCTCTCACTTTAACAGCCTGTTTTCCAGGAGCTCTTATGGCCAGGATGGAGTCCCTACCACCATTGCTTTGGACTTTATCTCCGCGACCAATTTTGAGAAGGTATTGACTTTCATTTACACAGGTGAGATCCTCACAGATTTGATAGACGTTGGGGTGCTGTATGAGTTGGCAGAAAGACTGGGCGTGAGGGAGCTGGTGCGTGCTTGCCACGCTACCTTCCCTGACATGAAGAGTTCAGATGGAGATGTAGATGCAGACATGGCTCCTGCCACCACCATGGCTGCCTCTGTTTGCTCTTCCTCCGCGGCCTCCTGTTCCTCTCTGTCGTCTCCTGCAGCTCCCACTCCGGTTGCTCCTTCGCCGCTCTCTCAGAGCAGGGGGCCTAGGCTCAGCCGTGCCCACATGGCTCCTATGTCGCTCTCCCAGTCTCCTAAAGCGGAGGATAGCTTTCAGTTGCATTTGAGTTACAGCCAGCTGGCTGACAGCAAGCAGAGCTCACTGGATGACCACCGTTCTCAAGCTTCTGAGATTCTTCCGGGTCTGACACTGCAGCTTAAAACGGAGCAGGAGGAGGAGAAAGTGGATGAGACCAACACCTCAGAGGACCAAGCAGTCAGCAGTGGGAGCAAACTGGTGTTAACAGAAGCATGCTCCATTCCTGACTCCTCAGCACAGGCCGGAGGAGAAAGCTGCGCCCCCTCGTCCTCTTCTGGAGATCCTCTGGAGAACCTGCAGCTCAGGGCGGTTGAAGGTGGTGTTGGACTTGGGGTTGGGACGGTCAAAGAAGCCGTTTTGTTTGGAGAGGGGGATGACACAGAAAAGAGGAGCCTACAGGAAGGGCCCCCAGAGGATGGAGATCAGTGGAGGGCGCTGGCAGGTGACATTATCGAACTGAGTGATGATGAAGAGAATTACATAGAGGAAGAGGAAGATGACGAGGAACTGATGTGCATAGAAAATGGCGGAAATGGCACAGCAGCCAGTCTAGGCCAGCTGCCTCTGTCGTCGCAGCCATGTAAAGCTTGTGGGGTTTTGCTGCCTGCAGACAATAGCGCCCTCCGCTCTCATGCAGAGACACACCTGTCCGAGACGGGGAACTGCAGAGTGTGTGGCGCTTCCTTCCCTGACCGTGTGGCCAGCATCACCCATGCCCTGACTCATGTGGGCATCATGCTTTTTTCCTGCGACATCTGCGAGCTCCAGTTCTGCACAGAGGCCAAACTCATCCGCCACAGACGCCAGTCGGTAGCGCGATGTGTCCCCCAGCAGCCCAACCAGCTGAACAGCACCTCTCAGGGGCCTGGAGGGGAATTGCAGTGTGCTGTGTGTGCTAAATCCATTCCTAAAGATTTCAAGGTCTGTATGTTCATTTAATAATCGTGATCTACGGTGTTCAATAGAAATTACAAGTGCATTTTGGCAATCCTCAAATTTACTCTAGAATTCTGAGTTAGACACTCAGAAAAATGGCGTACTCAATAGCGCCCTAAGCGCGAATAGAGATCCATTTCGGTCAACCCATTGTCTAGTTTGCAGGGCCATCTTGAGCTGAATTCACAGTGTTAGGAAAGGGAAAATGCTGATCTCTGCAGAGTTGTGGAATTTGACGCACCTGTCCTAAATTCCAGACCTGGTTAGCTGCATTAGCCTTGTAACTTCTGTGCAAAGGAAGAACAAGCTTTAGACGCCCAGCTGTCTTTGCTGATTGATTAGATTTGAAGTAACTGGAAAACTATGTCAGTTTGATTTTTTGCTGAACCTTCATTTTGAAAATTGACAATCTATTTCTTTGAGCTACCTCTATGCTGTATTGGATTTCTATTGCTGTAGTAGTACTCGGTGCTCGTTGGATTTTTTTTTTTATGCCTTTATAAAGGAGTCTCGTTTCTGGCCAATTGATGTTTTGATTTTGTAATTTTTTCCCAATTTTTCTTGTCTAATTTTTCTCTGTAAATAATCCTTCTTTCAGGCTGTCAGGGACCACGTACAGAGCCATGTGTGTTTGCGAACCTTGCGTTGTGGTGTGTGCCAGTCACCCCAGCCGTCTCGGTGTACCCTTCTGTGGCACACCCTGACGCACCTCCTCCTCATTCACTCCTGTCCACAGTGTGCCTGTCCCTTCCTGGAGCGCCCTCTGCTGGACAGACACTTAGCTATGCATGCTGAAGAAGGAGGACTATTGAAAGAGGATGAAGGCGGTCAGGAAGGTGGTACAGAAGGCCAGGGGGAATTTCAGTGCTTCTTGTGTCCACAGACATTCCGTACGGACACAGCCTTCCATTACCACCTCAGCATGCACCCAAGTGAATCGCAAGGTGGCCAGACATGGCCAGTAAAGCGCAAGGCGGACCAGTCGCTGGAGTTTTCTTCCTCCTCTTCCTCCCCACTAGAGGCAAGTGGCTTGGGCAAACTTGGTGGCCTGGGATTTAACATGGGCATGGGGCTTGGCCTTCCAGACAAAGCGCTTCAAGGGGGAATGCCGTTTCCCGCTGGATTCTTGCAGAACGGAAGCTCCTCAGGCTCTGCTTCCGCAGGCACGGGTCTCAAGCAGAAGTGGTACCGCTGCCGGTACTGTGGCAAGCGCTTCGCGCACTCTGGCGAATTCACGTACCACTTGCGCATTCACACGGGAGAGAAGCCGTACCAATGCAAAGTGTGTCTACGTTTCTTCCGCGGTCGTTCCACCATGATCTGCCACCTGAAGACGCATGCCGGAGCCCTCATGTACCGCTGCACCGTCTGCGGCCTCTACTTCTCCACACTCAAGATGGTCTCCTCACATATGGAGCTCCACAAAGACCACTTGCCTCCGGACTTCAACATAGAGGAGACGTTCATGTACAATGATCACTCCAAAGAGCCTCTCCCTAATCTGGACTCATGAATTTATACTCACACGTTTATACTGTGCCTCAGTAATAATAAAGTGATGCACCGAAATTTGGACCAAATTCGAAAATGGAATCAAAATTCCAAAAATTCTGACTGAAAAAGTAAGCCGTTTACATTTTTTAGGACTGCCACAAAGTCAGTGATGTCATTTATGAAAATGTCTTTTTAAAATGCCTCATAATGCTCTTTAATGTTAATATATAAGTCATATGACAGATTGCAGTTAGCGTTAGGGGCAAAAAGGCTATTGTTGTGTTGTTGCATCATAAAAAAATAAATCCAGTGATCTCTGGCAACAGCGAAGAGAGAAGCTGAAGAAGGCATAATATTGCCTAATCGAATAATAGTTTTTAGGGGTAATCAATTATAGAAATAATTGTTTGTTGCAGTCCTAATTATTAAAGATTTTTAAAATTTAAACACCAGGATGAAATCGATGAACCATCAGAATATAACACGTCATTTCAAAAATATTATTAATTAGTAAAAAGGCAAAACAAATCAATAGAATTAATGCAAAGGTCCAAAAAAGGCAAAAAAAAAAAATAAAGAAATCCACTGTGTCCTTAATTTCAGTTTATGTTTTGGCCAAGAATTTTAAGGTGCATCACAAATTTTTAAGAAATGGTTTGGCCAAAAAACAAATTTACACAGTTTTCCACTTAGCCCAGGTGTAGTCAGTCAGCCAAGACATATTTTGTTTAGATTAGCACTGGAGCTACGAGGCTAACGTTGTTTAGGAGCCAGTATGACTTACTGTGAGCTCTAAAAATGAAAACTTCACCATGTAGCTAAATGGAGGGGGGTTTTTTAGACAGCAAGTGTTGTGCTGAATTCTGACTCCCACCCAGAACTCCCCTTTGCATTCATGTTATGAACATGTGCTGAGTTTTCATAAATTCAAGATTTATGGTTATTTTTAAAAAGTAACAAATTGCAAAAGTGAACTTATGCTTGCTCACAATAAGTCATACTGTGTCTAAAACACATCAACACATCTGCGCAAACTTGGACGGCAAACATATCTCAGCTCATCGGCTGCATCATTTGATTTTTCGCCAAACTATTCCTTTAATCTCACTCATTATCAGTCACTGTTGTTGAGGACCAAGTGTCTGTAGACTTTAGGATGTAACAATGTTTTATGTAGTTGAAAAAGGAGACATTTTAAAAGAAGCAGAATTTTAATTTCAGTCGGTACTGTTACTACATTGCCACATGGTGGCAGTGTTTAGGTATTCTCAAAATGGGTGAGGACGGACTAATTATTGTCCCTGCGGATGTTGAGCTGAGTGTTAGTTTAGGATTACCACTTGATATTCTTCCTTCAACTCATCTTGTAATCAATATAAGCTAAAAGATTAAGGTTGTTCCAGAGCGTTAAAACAACATATCTCATGGGTGGCTGTGGTGGTGTTGTTGAGCTTCTTTTTTATTTAAGAGGCACAAAATGGCAGCAGTTGTGCTCTGGAAGCAGAAGCAAACTGCTTTATCACATACAGAGATGTTTATCACGTAGAATTAGAAATGCCTATTCATGATATTCCCTACTATTTGTATGTTGTGTATTAATTCACCATAAAGTGCTCCAAAGGGTCATTCGTACAAGGTTAGTTTTATGTATTATGATAGGAAATTGCAGAAGGGAATAACCAAGGCCGAAAAAAGAAGCTAATATATCTGTCAGACTTTTTACAGAGTTAAAGCTTCCCCAAGGAATCATGGGTGTGGATGGTAAAGAATGTTGGCACAACAGATGAAAGCTTTATTCATTCCTCTGTGACATTTTTATAAGCTTCAAAAACAGTGTTCACCTTTATTTGAATATGCTTTGAAGACAACTGAATTTAAAGAACACTCTTGAGAGCACTGTAAAGATATAATCATGATGATGTTGGTAAAATTTTAACAATTAGTGGACCCAAACACAGTTGTGAGAAAGTTTGTGACTTCTTTGGGAGTTATGTGGGTTTCTGCACGAATGGTTCCAAAAATGTAATCCGATCTTCATCTGCGTCATCGTAATTATAACATCTTATGTAACAAAACAACCGTGTAACTATAACACCTGTAATATCTTATGTAACAAAGAAATGCATTATTTTACAGTGCCATATCTTAATCAAACAAGTGGTTTAAGCAGCCAAGGTCTTTGATAGAACATTCACTATGTGAACTCTTGTTTATAACCAGTGGTACCTTCTTTTTTAGCAGTAACTTCAACCAAACGCTTTATGTAGCTGCTGATCCTGTGCAGTGTTTCGGATGGATTTTAGCTGAGAACTGTTTCAGTTTATGTATATTCCTACAATGTCCTGGTTGGACTGCCTGCCTCAGGTTATGCCACTGCATTTTAATCGGACTGCATGTTAAGTCAGGATTCATGTGTTGCCATTCTGCTGCAGTTTCTTGATATTACTTGAATACCTTCGATAATTGCAAGCCATCCATTTGTCTTTTCTGTCAACAGAACATATTGAAAATTTAACAATATTCAATAGTGCTGTGGAACAAACTTGAGACAAGCAGTACTTTTGTTTTCTTGTGAAGTTGTTCAATCATAATTTGAACATGAACACTCGTTCGCTGTTTTATTTTAATGGTAGACTCATGGACGCACAAGTTTTCGATTGGAAGAGATGCTAGCAGATGCTTAGCTGTCACTCTAGCATTATTTGTTATTTGTTGAGGGATTCTTTGCCATGCTTTTGCACTGATATATGCTTACTACTACAAAGAAAATATCAACAGTGTTGATTTTATTTAGCGTGTTACTGTTGGTACAATGAGCTAAAACAACTTCTCTTCTTAGGTTCTCTGAAACACCTATTTGTTTAGTGATGCATTAATCGAGTCGACTCTGACTTTCCACTCCTGCCAATGGAATCGATGGATTCGACTCCTGGACTCCTTAATACTAACCAAGACGGCACCAGAACCATTGATAAATGTAAATAGCGGAAATTAAACCATCTTAAAGGTAGATTACCCACTTTTTTGACTTGCTACAGATCATAGTGAATTTATAAATTTTTGTAATAGCAAGTTCTGTCACATAAATTTGAGTTCTAATATTCCTGGGCTGGACATGGCTGTTATCCTCTAGCAAACTGAGATGCTGTTGAAGCTACCTGTAGTCTTGTAATTGAACTAATGCTACTCAGACTCAAACTTCTCCCTGCAGTATACATACAGCCATCAAAATATCTATTGAGACTTCAAGCAGCTTGACTTTCTGAGTCATTGGCCAAGAGCCGAGCCCGACTCCCGTAAGCATTATAATTTTGATACCTCTCACTACTTTTATTGGGGCCATGTTGTACATGGGCGGAATTTGGTTATGAACACCATTGGTCAATTTAAATGAAGATTTTTAGGTTGCTTCATAAAATGTTTAACAAAATGATGTGTTTCAGAGTTAAAGACACTTTTAGCACAAGATTAAAACGATGGTAGATTCTTTGTGTGGCGCTCCAACCAGACTGCACTAGAGTATTGTAAAGCAGCAAAGTCTGGGGCTGTTTTTCTTACAGTGGTGTCAGTGAGCTTGAGTTCATTGATGAGATCATAAAAGAATACTTTGCTAAATGAAAAAGCTTTGGAATGGTCTGTTTAAAAGAAATGGCACTTGGTTTTACATTTTGTTTTCCAACACGATGAACAAATACTTCTTTGTGTCTCTGTAGGTACATAGAAGTTAGAGGACGTCATCAAAATTATGCAGGTCAAACTTGCACCCGATTTAATTGCAACAATTGATTTAAGTTATTCTCTTTTTAAGTGGTCATCATCCTTTCACATACCTTTTCCATAAACAAACTTGATTAAAACATGGTTAAACAATGTTTAGTGAAGATCTGGCTCTGTGAAATAATGTTTTTTTGTTTTGGTTTTTTTATATGTCCATCTTTGTTATTTATTATGTCTTGGGTGAAAAACATCACATTTTATGATCCATTCATGCAGGAATGCAGATAATTCCAAAGGGATCAGGAGCTTTTTTCTCACAACTGTAAGGCAGCAATAAGTAGCATTTTTTAAAGTCATAAAATTGTGATTTTGGTGGGGGGAGACAAAACCCATTTTACAGTGGTCTGGGTGAATAGTACGCAACCCAAGTTGTTAATATCTCTATCTGACAGGTAAACAATAGAAATGATACCTATTGCTCCTTTAAACAGTGATTGTCACAACCGGGCGGGGTTATTTCCACAGCGTGTGATATTTTTCTAATGTGAAAAAATTGCCTTATCAGACACGTTAAGATATGTAAGTATTTATTTATTGTATTTATAGATTTTTAAGTTGATACATTATATTTTGTATTGAGTGTTTTCATGAATGGATATGTATTGCTTTGTTCACAACTGTATTTGTTTAGTATGTGTTCTGAATAAAATTAAGATCATAAACATGCAGGTGTTGTTGCTGGTGAAGCTAAAGTGGAGTCAGAGTCAAAGTCACAACTTTCCTCTTTGAGTCATTCTGTGTTCAGTCTGGCATCTCTGCCATCACAGCAAACATTTTTTTAAAATGTGAAACACCTGAAGGAACTGGATTGTAGCTTACTCGTTCACGTTTAGCAGGCAAAAGTTTCTCCACATGGAGGTGCTGTCAGCGGTCAAACTGATTTAAAGCACTGTTTTGCAAGAGCAGTGCTTTACATCAATGACACTGTGCACTTGTGTCCATTGGACAAAAAAAAAAACATTAAGACCATTAAATCTCCTCTAATGAACTGTTTGAGATATGCACTATTAATAAAAAAAAAGAAAAGCAAATAAAAAAACTGCCAACTGAGTCACAAGTCTTAATTTTTTTAATGCATGTATATAACATCAACATCTGTTACAGTATATACACATTCAGTGAGACATCTGATTTATGTAAAAAAAAAAAAAAAGGTTTTGTCCAGTCTGGTGCAACCGAAGAACTGTAGTTTATGGCTAATGAATCTTACTGGTTTTACATGCTCTGATGAAGGTGATAAATGACCACTGAGTAGTGATCATATAAGCAATTGTCATGGATCAGTGTGGACAAAAGCTCTGTTGGCCAACTTTAAATAAAGATGGACGTTCAGAACGAAGGTATTGTTATAGAAAAAGCTTACAGAAAAAAACTCGCAGCAGGACCAAGTTACATTTTTTTTTCCAGTGAACAGATCATACTTGGCTAATAGTTTCCTTTGAAGTGTGGCGTGTTCCTAGATGTTACCATTGCTTCCTGTGGGAGTCTGAGGCAGGCAGTTTTCTTCCTTCCTCTCTTGAAACCAAAGTTGGGGATGCCAAAAGTGGTATTTGTTTACATAAGATTTCAACTCCAGCGAGTCTTTTGACTACAGTGTTTACAAGCAATAAAAACAAACCATTTAGAGTCTTTAAATGTTCTTTGTCATTCACTGTTTGTTCTTGTGCAAAAAATTGGACATTTTTGAAGGGAACATTAGCCTAACCCTTTCCAAAAAAAAAAAACAAACAAGAAAAAAACAAAAACATGAAGATGGATGACAATCATGGTGTGATGCTTTGAGTGTCCAAAGGTGTTACTAACTGTCTTTTAGAAGGACATTTTGGGAAAACATTGAGAATTTATTTTTATTCACAGCAGCACATTAGGAGAAGCTCCAAAGTGTTTCCTTTCTTGCTTCTCCCAGGGGACTCTACAGTGAGCTGCTGGGATTTAAATTCTTTAGGGTCCTATATCTGAGTGACTGGTGCTGGCATTGCTGATCTTTCGCTCCTTCCCTGGCGCCGCTGTCCCCGTGCCGTTGGCTGGGGCGTTGGCACTGGCAGGTGGTAGAGGAGAGATGTAGGAAATTATGCCGTTGATAAGATTGGCGCGGAAGCTTTTGCTCAAGAAGTTGTAGAGGATGGGGTTGGCAATGCAGTGGAAAAGCGAAAGGCACTGCACTACACTGAAGGAGAAGTATAGCACCTCCACTGCATTGCAGGACATCAGGTGTGGGTTCAAGTCATCCACCATCAATAGGAACATCACCAAGTGGTAGGGCAGCCAGCAGGCCACGAACACCAGTGAGTAGACGTGCACTAGCCACAGGTCCCGGCGGCCCTGGACATCCGGGGATGCCCGGGCAGCTCGGGCAATTAGGACGTTGCAGGTGATGATCATGGATGCAGGTCCCAGAAACTGGAAGATCAGACACAGGAAAGCCACAGATACAAACCATTCGGTGTAATTGTGTTCAGGCACCATGTAGCAGCCGGGCTCATCCCACTCCAGCAGGTCCACATGCACGTTCTCCAGGAGTGCCAGCACCACGGACAGCAGCCACAGCCCGCCACAAAGCAGCCAGCGTCTGTGCTTGGGCTGCAGCGGGAATAAGGGCAGTGCATTCGGTCGCGTTAAGGACAGGTACCTCTCCAGGGTCATGAAGGCCAGAAAGAAGGAGCTGCTGTAGAAGTTGATGACGTAGATGAGGTGGGTCAACTTGCACAAGAAGCGGCCCCAAATCCATACCTTGTCCATGGTCACCTCTAGCATGAAGAAGGGCATAGTGAGCACCACCATCAGGTCGGACAGGCTGACGTTGATGATGCAGAAGAGCACGCCACTGGCAGAGTGGCGTCGCCGCCAGTTCACCCAAACCACCAAGCTGTTCTCGGCCAGGCCCACCATGAATAGGAACAGGTAGAGGAGGAAGAGGGCAATGCGCCGTGCATCCCTGTCCAGGTCAAAGGTGCAATCGTAGAACCACAGGTGAGGGTAATCGGTTGTGTTGACATCATGCGACATGATCTAGGGAGAAAGAGGAAAGGGTTTGCATGGGTGGGTGTACTCAGAAATTCAGTGGAACTGTCGTTGCCTTTGCAAGTTTGCCTTTGCGGAAACTGCTGCCTTGCAAGAAATGCAAAAGAAGACGTAATCAAAATAAATAAATAAATAAATAAATAAATCTATCTCTGTTTAAACACTACAAACATGATTTTACGTAAAGATGTTTGCTTTAACATTAATGCAGACCTGGATTTTGCACTTTTGGACCAGAGGGGCATTCACCCACCCTTACAGAAGTTAACTGCAGACGTCAGGATGCGTTTTTCCCCAATTTTCCATAGTGTATATATAAAATAACCTCAACTTTGAGATACTAACTCAAAGCGCTTAAGTTTGGCTTTACTGTTCTTGGGAAATTTTCCCAGTCAGGGTGGCTCTTCTCATAACCAGCCTTACATAATGGGTATGGCATACGGCAAGGCAGAAATCACTGAGGAATTTCTCTTTATATTTCCCATAGTCGCATTGTGAAGCTTTCAGGAAGGGCATGTACTGCACTATTAACTACCATAATCAACTCGAGGCAGTTCTAGATGATCGAGATATAGCAAAAGGCATGCATGCTTGATTCTTAGAATCATTTTGGAAAGTTTTTAGTAATTATCAAGAATAGAGAGTGTGACCAGGTGTCTAATGAAGGTTCTATGAATAGGGGCTCAAATTCATTAAAACTTTTGAACCGTTTTAATCAGCATTTGAAATGATGCATCTTAATGATCTGGAGTTCATTTTAATAAAAAAAAGAATTCAGAAGGCCTACCTTGCCTGTGTAGAGAGTGCCAGTGGACAAGCTGGAGTGAGGGTAGACCCCTCTGGTGGAGCACTATCCTGGAGAAATGAAGATTGTGCTGGCTGGAGATGTGTGGAGCTTCAGTCTTTGCCCTGGCGGGAATGGGGCATTAAGCCCTCCTCTCTATGCCTCTCTCTGTCTCTGTCTCTCTCCCTCCCCCTTCTGTGTCTTTAGCAGAGCTGCTGATAGGACATATTCCCAGGACAGGAAGGAGGCATACTCGGCAGGAAAGACTCCCAGGAAATACCTCTTTCCCTGGTAAAGCTGCAAATAGCGGTCCAGGTGAGATATTGGTGATATCTGTCTATCAAATCCACCAAAGCAATCAAAGTGCAAGCATTCATGCATTACGTAAGGATACACATGTGAGTATGGGATGTGTGATCATGTCAGCTTCTTTATGGAGTTGCTCATTTTTGCTACAAGATTTCAAGATTAAGAGATATGGAAGTACAGGTCGATGTATGGAAATTAAGCTGCAAAAACAGCCTATTCTGAATTCAATGTTTTTGCCAAAAGCTACATATATATATATTATATATATATATATATATATATATATATATATATATATACTTTTTTCCAAGTCATTTTGGGCAATTTCTATTGGTCCATTTATCATGACATTTACACACAATGTAAAGTTTTGCTCTTTTTTAACAAAATTTTTAAATTACAATTAAAATAGAGATATGTGGTTTTGTTCCGACAGCAGCGATATGTAACATATACCCACGTATCCAGCCTACATCAGTTTAACCCACCCCTTCACGTTGAAGTTATAAGTCAGGGGTGTCAAATTCAACCACTTAAGGGGCCATATTAAAAAATCTTAACAAATCCGAGGGCCAGAGCGAGTTTATATTCAAATACGCCAAAACGTCAACAGCAAAATATAGCCACTTGTGGTACACCTTCAAATATTACATGTGAATACTTGATATGTGTAGACTACATTAGCTACTTTTAACTCTTTAATGTCCCCAGGATGTAGGTCTTTTAAACCTACCTGTGTGCTTGGTCTCAACATCTGACATATTTTCTGCTGTTCATTTATTCTTAATCAGTTTCTGAGCTGCTGAGTGTTTATAGTGTTGATAGTGTTTATGTTGGTTGTACTGCAGCTAATACGCAGTTGGTGTGTTTGGTGATATGACGTTTGCAATAGGGTATAAAACTACTGTCCCATAGATTGCTGTTGGGGGAAGGAGTGAAAATATTTTCGAGGGCCAAACTGGATTGTTCCACGGGCCTTTTCCTGGCCTGCGGGCCTCATGTTTGACACATGGGTTATAAGTAGCGTTTCAGCCAAGGCTGCTTTTTGAACTAGGCACAGTACAGGGCACCCAATTAGAACAGAATCATTTACATATATTTACTCAACAGAAACAACCTGTTTCTATCTGAGAGGTTGGAAATTGGTCATAAACATGAATTACAACTGTTTTAGATACATAAAACCATGCAAACTGCAAGTTTTGATGATCAATTCTTACATTGCCTGAGGTTCACCACCAACTGACATCACCAAGCTTCTTCTTTTGGTGTCTGATTTTGACTTTCTGAGTGCTTATGTACAGCAATTAGCCCAGATCTTGCACCGATTACATCTAGTGGATGTTTTCAAAGAAGACTTCCATAGAAGCGCTGACTGTGTAATTCAGTAATTCAGTATTTAGGCCCACTTGTTTCCAAAATATAATCAAATTATATAACATGTTTTTTATTTGTTATATAATGGTATATATGGTGGTATAATACTTCCAAAAAAAAACACATTTTCAGGCCCATCAAATTATCATGTACATGTGCTTTCTCAGCCATGTTATACTTTTTTTTTCTTTTTTAACCATTTTTAACACTGTACAATGCTGATTACTGTCAGACAGGCTTGTATGTTCATCTTAATGTGGCAAGAAAACAAATTTCAAGCTTATACTTAAGCTAGCCAGAAAATGGAATGTATTTTGTTGTCCGCTGGGCTGCACCGCTGTGGAATCTTTTATGCCTCTTCCAAAGTTCTAGGAAAAACATATAGCTAGACAATAGCGGGAAATGCCAGTGTCGTAGAGGAGCATTAACTGAGAGGCACGGGCGAAGGGGAGGTAGGAAGCCTGCCGTACATCAAAACCTCAATAAGCAAGGGGGCCCTTTAACCCAGCGCTGCCTCCCTGCCCGCTCCTTTCAGCACCTTACTTAAAACCCCCGGCTAAATGCTGTATGGAAAAATGTTAATGTTACGGTAAAGGGTCAACAAACTGCTCACTAATGTAGTTCTTTAACATTTCCCTTGATTTTTCTCCCCCAGTTCCACTGCTGTTTGATTAGCCTCTTATGTATGGTTCCCTCTCACAGTTTCTGCTATGGACGTACAGTTTTGATAAAACAATCAGTTCATAAAGGTTTAATTTCTTTCTGCATATAGGTGAAAGAGTGAATGGGTGTCTAAGCAATTTCAAGTGTAATTGAACGCAAATCCCCCAGTGTGTGCAAGCATGCAGTACATTGCAAAAAGTTTGGAGTCAATGTTGTCAATGGTATAAAGCCAATCTGGTTGTAGGTATATGTATAAAATGTTTCTAGTATGCTTGTCCTCTCCCAACTTCACAGTGAGGACATTTTAAACACAGGCGTTCTTCACAACAACCCATGTGCTTCTTTGAGAAAAGTAACAAAACAGTGACAAAACATTTATAAAACCTACAACACTACAGCAGGATTTTTGCCTGTCTCAGCCCACTGTAACTACATTATACTTTGAAATATAATCCTTAAATACTTAGAAAATCCTATTGTTCTTGCATTAATGTGTGAATCCATTTGACATCTCATCTTGATTCATGAGTCATGCATTATAGGTTATGTGCATTTTTGTTGTGTCCTTCATCGTTCACACAGTGAATGGGAAATTAATTAAGATCATGGGGTGAAGAAAAGTTCTTTTATTCTTTTTATACTGTGAAATTGGCTGACAAGGTAAATGTCAAAGTTCAACTCTTTTACCCAAACTCCAGAGTGAATATAAATTATATAATAATTACTTTTAGTATGTCCTTAGTGTCTTTATTCCATTAGCATGGATATTAGATATCTGCATTTGTGTATTTGCTAAACCTATGCTCAAACTTGTTACTCATTTAAGCCATTATCAGCAAAGAAACCTTGTAAAAAAAAAAAATGATATTGATTCCTTAACATGGTCAATCGTTAAATGCATGTTTTAATTCATTTTATTTAATGTTGAAAAATGATTTTACAAAATAAAATTAATTAAAGTTTCACTTTAAAGAGTCAGCAGGGCTAAATGGCAAACCAATAGTGAAATCACAAATGAATAAAACATCTAATACCTTTGGTGTCTAGCATGTATGTGTTATTACTGTATATAAAACAGCATTCAGCTTTGTTAAAAGTTCAATGCAGTCATCAGAGCTGTCAGCAGTGGTGGTGGTGCGTGTCTGCTAATTGCTGTCATCAGGAGTCGTGGAGCCTCAATGCTGCGAGCGTAAGGTGGAGGATGATTTGTGTTGGCCTCGATTCCCTGCTTCAGATTAATGCACTGGGTTGCAGGACACCCTGTTCCAGCCTCTCCTAAAACAGGGCCACGGTTTGGTCAGCATTTTGTTCGATTAGTAGGATCCTACTTTTCTCCCTCCCCTCTTTCCTGCCTTGTTTTCCTCCATTGTTAAGAGCAGTCATGTTTTTTTTTCACTGGAGCAACAGGAAACGGTCCGTCAGCAGATTTGGGGCTTCTGGAAGAGGCAAAGCGAATCCTGTCCCTGACCCCCAACACATGCTGGGCTAGACTTATCTGAGGCCCACGCTAATAAATTCTCAAACTCTTATCAGGCTGCATAATGTTAAAAAAAGGCTGATGTACATCAGTCCTGTTACTGGGAAGTACTGGGTGTTGGCTGGGATCAGTTATTACATTATTAATAATTATTGATGAGAGTGGTACCAAAATTGAGAGGTAAATGTGTCTCCCCCTCCCCCATATAAAGAACTGAAGAACGTGGACATGATTATTTTGTTGAACAAAAAGAAAGATGCTAAGCCATGGACAGGACAATGAGTGATTTCTTTTTGTTGTTCTTGCTTTTATGTGCCTTACATACATAAGAAAGCAGAGTCCTTTACACAGTCGTAGGTAAAAGTGTGAATACTCTACAGAAAATGTACTTCTGCACATTTTAATGCACAATTACTGTTTATTTGCTGACTTTAACATTCTGGAGAAAAGTATATATTAAAAAAAGGTTATGGCACATTTTCTTCACCAAATATGTTAAACATGGCTAATAAACTGAAATTGTGCATCAAACTTAGCAAAAAAAATGTCATATTTAAGTTCCCTGTAGAGGATGTATTATCTTTTTTTCTTAGAAAATCAATAAACATGAAATTTGTTTAAACTTTTGCATACAACTGTATATTACAGGCAAAAATGACAAAACTGTTTGGTCTCCTTTTCTTGGCCCGCTTTGGATACTGAACGAGGTTTAATACTGAACTTAATAACTGCTTTAAAATGCATGTGCTAGATTTGCAATAATGTAATGTTTCATGTTTCTGGACAAGCTTTATACCATTCTCAACAAAATCTTTGATATAATAAGCCTTAAAATGTCAAATGGTGCTCAGATCAATAAATAATAGACTATGGGCATAATCATTATTTTGCTGAAAACAAATGTCACTGAATAATTTGTTTTATTTAACTGCACAAGTGATCTTTTGTGAGTTTTATAAGTTTTGGTAGTTAATTTTTTAGTCTATTTTTCTTTGTAAAGAAATACATTTTGAAATCTTCCAAAAGTATGTGAATGCATTATGTTAAAGGTTGAGTATTTGTTTCATGTTAACTTTCTTAAAAACTACTTTTGAGTAAAAAGTCTGGTCAAATTCTCATTAATTCATTTCTAAAAACTCTGAACTTTGCACAAAAGCATGAGGGTCTTCAGGGTTTCGTTTTGTGATGATCTTGTTTTTCCTTTTACACAGCAACAATATGTCTTTCTGCATGCTGATTCCACCGTGCTGACACCTGAGCAAAATGACTTTGTGGACAAGTTTTTAAAATTGTAATTATTTTTTTCCTCTCAATTTTTTCCCCCTTATTTAGTTGTGGCCAATTCTACAATGCTACCTAGGCTTTCCCCTTACACACAATGCAA